TGAGGCTGTAGACCCAGGACTGAGGCCGTAGACCCAGGACTGAGGCCGTAGACCCAGGACTGAGGCTGACTCTGGTGTATTGTGTGTTTGCTTCAGACTGCGGGCGTCTCGGGTTCTTCTGGCAGGTCTGGGTGGACTCGGGGCTGAAATCGCAAAGAACCTGATCCTGGCTGGAGTCAAAGGCCTCACGCTCCTGGACCACAAGCAGGTGCTGTAACATGTACTGACCTACTGCCATGACCTACAGCCATGACCTACAGCCATGACCTACAGCCATGACCTACAGACATGACCTACTGGCATGACCTACAGACATGACCTACAGACATGACCTACAGACATGACCTACAGCCATGACCTACAGCCATGACCTACAGACATGACCTACAGACATGACCTACAGCCATGACCTACAGACATGACCTACAGCCATGACCTACAGCCATGACCTACTGGCATGACCTACAGACATGACCTACAGACATGACCTACAGCCATGACCTACAGCCATGACCTACAGCCATGACCTACTGGCATGACCTACAGACATGACCTACAGCCATGACCTACAGACATGACCTACAGACATGACCTACAGACATGACCTACAGCCATGACCTACAGCCATGACCTACAGACATGACCTACAGCCATGACCTACTGCCATGACCTACAGCCATGACCTACAGCCATGACCTACTGCATGACCTACAGACATGACCTACAGCCATGACCTACTGCCATGACCTACTGCCATGACCTACAGCCATGACCTACAGCCATGACCTACAGCCATGACCTACTGGCATGACCTACAGCCATGACCTACAGACATGACCTACAGCCATGACCTACAGCCATGACCTACTGCCATGACCTACTGCCATGACCTACTGCCATGACCTACAGCCATGACCTACAGCCATGACCTACTGCCATGACCTACTGCCATGACCTACAGCTATGACCTACAGCCATGACCTACAGACATGACCTACAGACATGACCTACAGACATGACCTACAGACATGACCTACAGACATGACCTACAGCCATGACCTACAGACATGACCTACAGACATAACCTACAGCCATGACCTACAGCCATAACCTACAGCCATGACCTACTGGCATGACCTACAGACATGACCTACAGCCATGACCTACAGCCATGATCTACAGCCATGACCTACGGCCATGACCTACAGCCATGACCTACAGCCATGACCTACAGCCATGACCTACAGCCATGACCTACAGACATGACCTACAGCCATGACCTACAGCCATGACCTACAGCCATGACCTACTGGCATGACCTACAGACATGACCTACAGCCATGACCTACTGGCATGACCTACAGCCATGACCTACAGCCATGACCTACAGCCATGACCTACAGACATGACCTACAGCCATGACCTACTGCCATGACCTACAGCCATGACCTACAGCCATGACCTACAGCCATGACCTACTGGCATGACCTACAGACATGACCTACAGACATGACCTACAGACATGACCTACAGCCATGACCTACAGCCATGACCTACAGCCATGACCTACAGCCATGACCTACAGCCATGACCTACTGCCATGACCTACAGCCATGACCTACAGCCATGACCTACAGCCATGACCTACAGACATGACCTACAGACATGACCTACTGGCATGACCTACAGACATGACCTACAGACATGACCTACAGCCATGACCTACAGCCATGACCTACAGCCATGACCTACTGGCATGACCTACAGACATGACCTACAGCCATGACCTACAGCCATGACCTACTGCCATGACCTACTGCCATGACCTACTGCCATGACCTACAGCCATGACCTACAGCCATGACCTACAGCCATGACCTACAGCCATGACCTACTGCCATGACCTACTGCCATGACCTACTGCCATGACCTACAGCCATGACCTACAGCCATGACCTACAGCCATAACCTACTGCCATGACCTACTGCCATGACCTACAGCCATGACCTACAGCCATGACCTACAGCCATGACCTACAGCCATGACCTACAGCCATGACCTACTGCCATGACCTACTGCCATGACCTACTGCCATGACCTACAGCCATGACCTACAGCCATGACCTACAGACATGATGAATGGATGTATTACATTGATCGTGTTGTTCTTGTCTTTCCAAACCTGCTCCTCGCTGCAGGCCACAGAGGAGTCGTGCAGAGCTCAGTTCCTGGTGCCGGTGAGCGCTCGGGGCCAGAACCGAGCCCAGGCGTCTCTGGAGAGGGCCCAGAACCTGAACCCCATGGTGGAGGTGCACGCAGACCCCTCCCCCCTTCAGGACAAGCCAGACCAGTTCTTCCTGCAGTTTGATGCGGTCAGTGGAACCTCTAATGTCACACACTTCATCCCGGCCCCACGGCCCGGTCTGAGGCGGCGGGTCTGAGGCGGCGGGTCTGAGGCGGCGGGTCTGAGGCGGCGGGTCTGAGGCGGCGGGTCTGAGGCGGCGGGTCTGAGGCGGCGAGTCTGAGGCGGCGGGTCTGAGGCGGCGGGTCTGAGGCGGCGTGTCTGAGGCGGCGTGTCTGAGGCGGCGTGTCTGAGGCGGCGTGTCTGAGGCGGCGTGTCTGAGGCGGCGTGTCTGAGGCGGCGGGTCTGAGGCGGCGGGTCTGGGCGGCGGGTCGCGGGTCTGAGGCGGCGGGTCTGAGGCGGCGGGTCTGAGGCGGCGGGTCTGAGGCGGCGGGTCTGAGGCGGCGGGTCTGAGGCGGCGGGTCTGAGGCGGCGGGTCTGAGGCGGCGGGTCTGAGGCGGCGGGTCTGAGGCGGCGGGTCTGAGGCGGCGGGTCTGAGGCGGCGGGTCTGAGGCGGCGTGTCTGAGGCGGCGGGTCTGAGGCGGCGTGTCTGAGGCGGCGTGTCTGAGGCGGCGTGTCTGAGGCGGCGTGTCTGAGGCGGCGGGTCTGAGGCGGCGGTCTGAGGCGGCGGGTCTGAGGCGGCGGGTCTGAGGCGGCGGGTCTGAGGCGGCGGGGCTGAGGCGGCGGGTCTGAGGCGGCGGGTCTGAGGCGGCGGGTCTGAGGCGGCGGGTCTGAGGCGGCGGGTCTGAGGCGGCGGGTCTGAGGCGGCGGGTCTGAGGCGGCGGGGCGGTCTGAGGCGGCGGGTCTGAGGCGGCGGGTCTGAGGCGGCGGGTCTGAGGCGGCGGGTCTGAGGCGGCGGGTCTGAGGCGGCGGGTCTGAGGCGGCGGGTCTGAGGCGGCGGGTCTGAGGCGGCGGGTCTGAGGCGGCGGGTCTGAGGCGGCGGGTCTGAGGCGGCGGGTCTGAGGCGGCGGGTCTGAGGCGGCGGGTCTGAGGCGGCGGGTCTGAGGCGGCGGGTCTGAGGCGGCGGGTCTGAGGCGGCGGGTCTGAGGCGGCGGGTCTGAGGCGGCGGGTCTGAGGCGGCGGGTCTGAGGCGGCGGGTCTGAGGCGGCGGGTCTGAGGCGGCGGGTCTGAGGCGGCGGTGGGTGACTGTCTGGCTCGGGGGCGGTCCTGTGGCGGCGTCAGGGGTCTGAGGCGGCTGTCTGAGGCGGCGGGTGGTGCTGACCTGTCCCTGTGCTTCAGGTGGTGCTGGCCTGTCCCTGTGCTTCAGGTGGTGCTGGCCTGTCCCTGTGCTTCAGGTGGTGCTGGCCTGTCCCTGTGCTTCAGGTGGTGCTGGCCTGTCCCTGTGCTTCAGGTGGTGCTGGCCTGTCCCTGTGCTTCAGGTGGTGCTGGCCTGTCCCTGTGCTTCAGGTGGTGCTGGCCTGTCCCTGTGCTTCAGGTGGTGCTGGCCTGTCCCTGTGCTTCAGGTGGTGCTGGCCTGTCCCTGTGCTTCAGGTGGTGCTGGCCTGTCCCTGTGCTTCAGGTGGTGCTGGCCTGTCCCTGTGCTTCAGGTGGTGCTGGCCTGTCCCTGTGCTTCAGGTGGTGCTGGCCTGTCTCTGTGCTTCAGGTGGTGCTGGCCTGTCCCTGTGCTTCAGGTGGTGCTGGCCTGTCCCTGTGCTTCAGGTGGTGCTGGCCTGTCCCTGTGCTTCAGGTGGTGCTGGCCTGTTCCTGTGCTTCAGGTGGTGCTGGCCTGTCCCTGTGCTTCAGGTGGTGCTGGCCTGTCCCTGTGCTTCAGGTGGTGCTGGCCTGTCCCTGTGCTTCAGGTGGTGCTGGCCTGTCCCTGTGCTTCAGGTGGTGCTGGCCTGTCCCTGTGCTTCAGGTGGTGCTGGCCTGTCCCTGTGCTTCAGGTGGTGCTGGCCTGTCTCTGTGCTTCAGGTGGTGCTGGCCTGTCCCTGTGCTTCAGGTGGTGCTGGCCTGTCCCTGTGCTTCAGGTGGTGCTGACCTGTCCCTGTGCTTCAGGTGGTGCTGGCCTGTCCCTGTGCTTCAGGTGGTGCTGGCCTGTCCCTGTGCTTCAGGTGGTGCTGGCCTGTCCCTGTGCTTCAGGTGGTGCTGGCCTGTCTCTGTGCTTCAGGTGGTGCTGACCTGTCCCTGTGCTTCAGGTGGTGCTGACCTGTCCCTGTGCTTCAGGTGGTGCTGGCCTGTCCCTGTGCTTCAGGTGGTGCTGGCCTGTCCCTGTGCTTCAGGTGGTGCTGGCCTGTCCCTGTGCTTCAGGTGGTGCTGGCCTGTCCCTGTGCTTCAGGTGGTGCTGACCTGTCCCTGTGCTTCAGGTGGTGCTGACCTGTCCCTGTGCTTCAGGTGGTGCTGACCTGTCCCTGTGCTTCAGGTGGTGCTGGCCTGTCCCTGTGCTTCAGGTGGTGCTGGCCTGTCCCTGTGCTTCAGGTGGTGCTGGCCTGTCCCTGTGCTTCAGGTGGTGCTGACCTGTCCCTGTGCTTCAGGTGGTGCTGGCCTGTCCCTGTGCTTCAGGTGGTGCTGACCTGTCCCTGTGCTTCAGGTGGTGCTGGCCTGTCTCTGTGCTTCAGGTGGTGCTGGCCTGTCCCTGTGCTTCAGGTGGTGCTGGCCTGTCCCTGTGCTTCAGGTGGTGCTGACCTGTCCCTGTGCTTCAGGTGGTGCTGACCTGTCCCTGTGCTTCAGGTGGTGCTGACCTGTCCCTGTGCTTCAGGTGGTGCTGGCCTGTCCCTGTGCTTCAGGTGGTGCTGGCCTGTCCCTGTGCTTCAGGTGGTGCTGACCTGTCCCTGTGCTTCAGGTGGTGCTGACCTGTCCCTGTGCTTCAGGTGGTGCTGACCTGTCCCTGTGCTTCAGGTGGTGCTGACCGGCTGCTCTCGGGACCTGATGCTGCGCCTGGACCAGCTCTGTTCCCAGAACAACATCAAAGTGTTTTGTGGAGACGTCTACGGTTACTATGGTTACATGTTCACCAACCTGGGGCCGCAGTACCACTACGTCGAGTGAGTCCCACACTTTAGGTCTGATCCACAGTGTGTCCAGAGAAGCACTTATGAAACTTATTATTATTATTATTATTATTATTATTATTATTATCAGTACTATAATCATTACTGAGTCTGTAATGTTCTGGAACCAGACCCGACACAGTCTGTTGTTTTAAAGGGAGAAACCCAAACTGGTGAAGCCGACAGGGGACTCAGACAGTCCAGACTCCAAGAAGACCAAGGTGGACCCCAACGAGACCACCATGGTGAAGAAGGTAGTGCACACAGGAGCGTTCAGGCAGAAGGGGCGGGGGGATGTCTGTGTCACTGCAAAGAATCCTTAGACTGTGTTCGGACTGTTTTCTGCTGATTTAAAATTCACACATTTTCCTTCTGCACTTTTCTGTAGAACAAATATTCTATACATACTTTATATATCCAGCAGAAGAAACATCTGTCTCTCTCTCTGGTCTCTCTCTCTCTGGTCTCTCTCTCTCTGGTCTCTCTCTCTGGTCTCTCTCTGGTCTCTCTCTCTCTGGTCTCTCTCTGGTCTCTCTCTGGTCTCTCTCTGGTCTCTCTCTGGTCTCTCTCTCTCTGGTCTCTCTCTGGTCTCTCTCTATGGTCTCTCTCTGGTCTCTCTCTGGTCTCTCTCTCTGGTCTCTCTCTCTGGTCTCTCTCTGGTCTCTCTCTGGTCTCTCTCTGGTCTCTCTCTCTGGTCTCTCTCTCTGGTCTCTCTCTCTGGTCTCTCTCTGGTCTCTCTCTGGTCTCTCTGGTCTCTCTGGTCTCTCTGGTCTCTCTCTCTCTGGTCTCTCTGGTCTCTCTCTCTGGTCTCTCTCTCTGGTCTCTCTCTTTCTTCATGTGGGGTCAGTTCTGTGTGTGTCCTGCAGGTGGCGTCCTACTGCACACTGAAGCAGGCTCTGGAGGTGGACTGGACCAGTGACAAGGCCAAGGCCGGACTCAAGAAGACCCCTGTGGACTACTTCCTCCTGCAGGGTAACTCCATGCTCCTCTTCATCATCACATCAATGCACTACGATCCTCTTCCTCATTCTCTTCCCCCGCCTCTTCCTCCTCATCCTCATCCTCTTCCTCATCCTCCTCATCCTCTTCCCCATCGTCTTCCTCTTCCTCCTCCTCTTCCCCCTCCTCTTCCTCCTCCTCATCCTCTTCCTCATCCTCTTTCTCCTCATCCTCTTCCTCATCCTCTTCCCCCTCCTCTTCCTCCTCCTCTTTCTCCTCATCCTCTTCCTCCTCCTCCCTCCTCCTCCCTCATCCTCCTCCTCATCCTCTTCATCCTCCTCCTCCTGTGTGTCTCTGTGTGTGTCTAGTGCTGCTGAAGTTCCGCACGGACCGGGGCCGGGACCCGGACCCGCTGCTGTTTGAGGAGGACAGTCTGGTCCTGGGACAGATCAGGGACAGTGTTCTGGAGACTCTGGGACTGAGCCCAGGTCTGCTGGGGGACCACTTCATCAGGTAACACGCACGCACACGCACACACACACGCACACGCACACACACACACATACGTACACACGCAAACACGCACTTATACAGACATGTATAAACTAATACACACCTGTTGGGTGTGAGTGTGCAGTGATTTTAACACCGGAGTTATGTGCTCCCTCCTTTTGGTACCTGTTAAGATCCTAGCTGCTGTATTCTGAACGAGCTGGAAGCTCTTCAAAGAGGCTTTAGGGCACGCTGCCAGTAAAGCGTTACAGTCGAGCCTTGAGGTGACAAACGCGTGAATGAGTTTTTCCGCGTCACTTTTAGGAAGGAAATTCCTAATTTTAGCGATGTTCCGTAAGTGGAAGTACGCCGTTTTAGTTGCTTGGCTTATATAAGCCTTGAAGGAGAGTTCTTGGTCAAAAATGACTCCAAGGTTCCTCACAGTGTTACTGGGTATAATACTGACATTATCGAGAGTAACCATCTGGTTAGTGAGGGAGTCACGCAGGCGCTTCGGACCGAGTAGGATCACTTCTGTCTTCTCCGGGTTGAGAAGTAGGAAGTTAAGAGTCATCCACATTTTAAGGTCCTTTATGCAGGCACTGAGCTTTTCTAGCTGATCTGTCTGATTTGGCTTCATCGACAGATAAAGCTGTGTGTCATCTGCAGCAGTGTCTGCAGCTGTGGAAATTAATTCCATGCTTTTTAATTGTGTGTGTGTGTGTGTGTGTGTGTGTGTGTGTGTGTGTGTGTGTGTGTGTGTGTGTGTGTGTGTGTGTGTGTGTGTGTGTGTGTGTGTGTTCCAGCTGCTGCTTCTCAGAGCTGTCCCCGGTGTGTGCTGTGGTCGGGGGAGTCCTGGGACAGGAGGTGGTCAAGGTAACGTCATTATTCTGTGGATCAGTTATGCTTCATTCACAGGTTGGAATAGTCCAGGGTTTCAGACCGGAACTAGTCTCAGGTCCTGAGTCCAGGGTTTCAGATTTAGATTAGATTCATTTTATTGGCCATGTGCAGTAAAACTACATTGGAAATACATGCAAAAAGAGGTACTCTGTGTGCACCGACAGAATAAAAAGCACGATACAATGTAATATAAATACACATACACTGAATATAAAATAATAAATAATAAAAAAAAACAGCTGACACTGTGGCACCGATCGACAAAACCATACAAGGGGTAAAAGCAGTTTAAAAGCAGGTAAAAGCAGGAATTAAAATGCTCTGTTTAGGCACCTAACAGCCTGTGGAAAGAAGCTGTTAGCATAGCGAGATGTCTTGCATCTCAGTGACCGATATCTTCTGCCAGAGGGAAGAAGCTGGAACATGGCTTTCCCAGGGTGGCCAGAAGAGTCACCGATGATTTTAAGAGCTTTGTTTAAAAGTCTGGATTTATAAAGAACCTCCAGAACAGGAAGCTCACAGCCCACGGTCCTCTTTGCAGAGCGGAGCACCTTGTTTAAAGCTCTCTTTTCTTTATCTGTGATGTTTCCAAACCACACAGACACAGAACCAACAAGTAAACTCTCAATGGTGCAGCCAGAAAAGTTCAGCAGAATCTTAGAGTTAGTGGTAAATTCTCTAAGTTTCCGCAGGAAGTAAAGACGCTGACGGGCTTTCTTAACGACTCGGTGTTTTTAACCCATTTCAGGTTAGACAGAGTTAAACCCAGAAACTTGCTCCTCTACAATCTGCACCTGGGAGTTGTCAATAACAACAGGAGTGTGAGAACTGCTACGACTGAAGTCAAAGACAAGTTCACATGTTTTTGCAGTGTTCAGCTGGAGATTGTTTACTTTACTCCACTGAAAAACATGTTCGATCTCTGCTCTATAAGAGGATTCATCAGTGTTACTGATGAGACCGATGATGGTGGTGTCATCAGCATATTTGATGATCAAGTTTGAGTCAGAGGAGGACACACAATCGTGAGTGTACAAAGTAAAAAGCAGAGGACTCAAAATACATCCCTGAGGAGAACCAGTGCTCACAGAAACAACATCAGAAAAACACTCTCTGAGATCTGTCAGTTAAAAAGCTAAAAATCCATTTACACATGGCAACATTCAGACCAAGGGACATTAGTTTTTCAACCAATATGCTTGGGACAAGGCAGTTAAAAGCAGAGCTATAATCAATGAACAGCATTCTCGCGACAGATTTACTAGTGTCCAAGTGACTGTAGACAGAGTTCAGAGCAAAGGAGATGCATCCTCCACACTCCTGTTCTGTCTGTAGCAAACTGGAGCGGGTCAACACTCACAGGGATCTGGCTCTTAATGAACTCCAGCACGAGCCGCTCAAAAGTTTTCATAAGAACAGACGTGAGGGCCACAGGACGATAGTCATTCAGGCATGTCACAGGAGTTTTCTTAGGAACTGGAATAATGGTGGACCTTTTAAAGCTCACCGGCACCGTACAGCTCCTGAGTGACAAGTTAAAAAGACTAGTCCTCAGGTCCAGAGTCCAGGGTTTCAGACCGAGACTAGTCCTCAGGTCCAGAGTCCAGGGTTTCAGACCGAGACTAGTCCTCAGGTCCAGAGTCCAGGGTTTCAGACCGAGACTAGTCCTCAGGTCCAGAGTGCAGGGTTTCAGACCGAGACTAGTCCTCAGGTCCAGAGTCCAGGGTTTCAGACCGGAACTAGTCTCAGGTCCAGAGTCCAGGGTTTGACAAACCCAAACTCGACAGATGTTAAAACCTGTCTCTGCTCCTCAGGCGCTGTCCCAGAGAGACGTCCCGCACCGGAACTTCTTCTTCTTCGACGCCTGCAAAGGAAACGGCGTGGTCGATTACTTTGGGCCAAACTAGTCTTTTTTTATCTTTTCTGTTCTCCAACTTTTCATTACAAACCTTTTCTAATAAAATCAATGTGCTCCTCAGAGTTGGCTCTATTATTTCACAGATGTCCTTTGGTCCGGGGTTTTTAAAGATTATCGGATACAAAGAAACATAAAATCCTCAGAGCATTTCTGTCTTGAACTTGGGATAATGATGAATTACGTCACGGAGCTGCAGTTGTTGAAGACTTCCGTCAGTTCTTCTAATTGGAGTATTCTGCTGTGAGTTTGTCTGTATCCATGGCTGCGATCAGAAAGACTCACTTCACGATGATGAATACAACATGAAGAAACCGTTGGATTCTCTGATCTGTTGTTGCTGAATCCACAACTTCCTGCAAAGTCCTTCGAGACGACTGTAGCTGTGATTTAGGGCGAGACACTAAAATAAAATAGAATTGACATGAGAGCGGACGGAGCAGAGAGAACCTTTTCAGCTGAGAGCCTAAAGAGTCTCATCCTTTAATATGTATTACTGGGATCCATACACTTTTGTTTTACTGTGAATATGTCTGATTTATACTGAATAAATCAATACATAAAACAGTAACATTTGTCTGAGAGCAGAACACGATCATCCAAAGAGCCACATCTGGCCCCTGAGCTGTTGGTTCAGTCTGTGTTCCTGACCCCTGACCAGACCCCTGCTGTGCGCTGATCCTGACGGTGCAGTACCACCTCCTGCCGCTGGGAGCAGCAATGCGGCGGCTGCAGAGCGCTGTCCCGAGCTATGACAAGTGTCTGGAGAAGAAGAGGAACAGGAAGCAGAGTCCGGTCTGTGTGAGGAGCAGAGACCGCAGACCTCCCGCAGACCCCCGTACGGCCCTGACCCCGAGCACCGGCCCCGAGGAGTCACCGAGACCCAGGACCCACCCCACTCTGAGGTGAGTGTGGGGGATCCCGGGGTCACACATGCCCCGTGAGCCTCTGGGACAGCCCGGGGTCACACATGTCCCGTGACCTGTGACCTTTAGTGTCAGGCTGATGTGTTCATGTTTGTTGGGACTTCGTATCTGATCACTTACGTTACTGTTTCCTGTGTTTGTCTTTATTGTCTTCCCTGTGCTCCTGGGCGGATAAATAAAGTCTAATCTGGATCTGGATGATACATCAGTTTGAGACTGTGTTATAAAAGCTGCAGAGTCCGATGGTCCACGGCTCTAAAGGTTGGGGGCCACTGTATCCCACAGTCCTTATTGAGTACTCACTGTGTTCCTGTGGCTGCAGACAGGACTGAGATGTTGTTATAGAGCATCACAGAGCACGGTCGCAGTGTTTCTGTTGAACACAGTGAGTGAGAGTAACAGGAGGTTCTCACAGTTCTTCAAATCTGGAGGAGCTCGGGGTAGAGCCTTGACACCGCTGTTCTAACATATCTCGACCCCATGTCCATTAGCCTGACTTTACTACCCCACTCTGATTGGGTGTAACCAGTACCATGTCCTTGTTTAGTCCCTCTTGGTCCAGGTTCTATCCTGGCCAAGCTGGTACTGAAGTGTTCTGACAGGGAATGGCCAGAGTGCTGCATGGTTACCAAGGAGTTTACTGGGGTACTGGGTAGGATCGGGGGAAACGAGGTTTAGAACGGTAATGTGAGTAATTGTAATCGTACTTCTCTTCATCTTTGCAGGAGGAAGCTCCGGCTCCAGACGACACCATGGTGAGTCCTGTCACACTCATACTAATGTTCTGATCATAGGTGTGGGTCCCATTCTTTACGCATCAATGTGGCGTCTCCGAAGGAAAGGGAGCACTTTCTAACTTCCAACATTAAGTTGCATTGAGCCCCTGCACTGGCGGAGAACATCCCTCTGCGTTTATCGCTGCCGTCTTCAAAGGAAACAAAAATCTAATGTGTGCTCTTTACGCAGATATGTGTTTATGGAGCTGGAGGTGGCTGTATGATTAGGCTCGTGGCATTTAAACAGATGAACCCCTGAAAACCAGGTCTCACTGGTCGCATTGGTCTCAGTGGAACTTATTTAACATTTGTGTGTTTCAGTCGGACACCACTGAGCTGAAGACGAAGGAGGAGAAGGACGCAGAGCTGGACCGAAGGATCGAGGCTCTGAGGAAGAAGAACCAGGCCCTGATGCAGCGCTACCAGGTCTGCAGTACTGTGGAGAACCACAGTACTGTACATTAGAGTACTGTAGTAGTATTACTGTAGTGCTACTGTAGTGCTACTGTAGTACTACTGTAGTATTACTGTAGTGCTACTGTAGTATTACTGTAGTATTACTGTAGTGCTACTGTAGTGCTACTGTAGTATTACTGTAGTGCTACTGTAGTATTACTGTAGTATTACTGTAGTATTACTGTAGTGCTACTGTAGTGCTACTGTAGTATTACTGTAGTGCTACTGTAGTATTACTGTAGTGCTACTGTAGTATTACTGTAGTACTACTGTAGTGCTACTGTAGTATTACTGTAGTATTACTGTAGTATTACTGTAGTACTACTGTAGTACTACTGTAGTGCTACTGTAGTATTACTGTAGTATTACTGTAGTGCTACTGTAGTGCTACTGTAGTATTACTGTAGTGCTACTGTAGTATTACTGTAGTATTACTGTAGTATTACTGTAGTGCTACTGTAGTGCTACTGTAGTATTACTGTAGTGCTACTGTAGTATTACTGTAGTATTACTGTAGTGCTACTGTAGTGCTACTGTAGTATTACTGTAGTGCTACTGTAGTATTACTGTAGTATTACTGTAGTGCTACTGTAGTGCTACTGTAGTATTACTGTAGTGCTACTGTAGTATTACTGTAGTATTACTGTAGTGCTACTGTAGTATTACTGTAGTGCTACTGTAGTATTACTGTAGTACTACTGTAGTGCTACTGTAGTATTACTGTAGTGCTACTGTAGTATTACTGTAGTGCTACTGTAGTATTACTGTAGTGCTACTGTAGTATTACTGTAGTATTACTGTAGTGCTACTGTAGTATTACTGTAGTGCTACTGTAGTATTACTGTAGTATTACTGTAGTACTACTGTAGTGCTACTGTAGTATTACTGTAGTGCTACTGTAGTATTACTGTAGTGCTACTGTAGTATTACTGTAGTGCTACTGTAGTATTACTGTAGTATTACTGTAGTGCTACTGTAGTATTACTGTAGTGCTACTGTAGTATTACTGTAGTATTACTGTAGTACTACTGTAGTGCTACTGTAGTATTACTGTAGTGCTACTGTAGTATTACTGTAGTGCTACTGTAGTGCTACTGTAGTATTACTGTAGTACTACTGTAGTACTACAGAACCACAGAAGTCTAACGGGCCTGATCCAAACCGCTCTGACTTGAGTCTCTGCTGCACAGGAAATCGAAGAGGATAAGAAGAAAGCAGAACAGGAGGGTATCGCCATAACGACCCCTCGTAAGCCCCGCCCACACAACCCCGAGCAGGAGAAGAGGAGGCAGGAGGAGCAGGAGAGGAGGAGGCAGGAGGAGCAGGAGAAGAGGAGGCAGGAGGAGCAGGAGAGGTGGAGGCAGGAGGAGCAGGAGAGGTGGAGGCAGGAGACGGAGAACTTCACTGTGACTGTGGACCTGTCGGCGCCGCAGGTGAGCGTCCACAAACATGCAGGAGTATCATTCTGTACATTCTTTATTATTGATATGGAAGTCCCTCTGATGGTCCCTCTGATGGTCCGTCTGATGGTGCCTCTGATGGTGCCTCTGATGGTCCCTCTGATGGTCCCTCTGATGGTCCCTCTGATGGTCCCTCTGATGGTCCCTCTGATGGTGCCTCTGATGGTCCCTCTGATGGTCCCTCTGATGGTCCCTCTGATGGTGCCTCTGATGGTCCCTCTGATGGTCCCTCTGATGGTCCCTCTGATGGTCCCTCTGATGGTCCCTCTGATGGTCCCTCTGATGGTCCCTCTGATGGTCCCTCTGATGGTGCCTCTGATGGTGCCTCTGATGGTCCCTCTGATGGTCCCTCTGATGGTCCCTCTGATGGTCCCTCTGATGGTGCCTCTGATGGTCCCTCTGATGGTCCCTCTGATGGTCCCTCTGATGGTCCCTCTGATGGTGCCTCTGATGGTGCCTCTGATGGTCCCTCTGATGGTGCCTCTGATGGTCCCTCTGATGGTGCCTCTGATGGTCCCTCTGATGGTCCCTCTGATGGTGTCTCTGATGGTCCCTCTGATGGTGCCTCTGATGGTCCCTCTGATGGTCCCTCTGATGGTCCCTCTGATGGTCCCTCTGATGGTGCCTCTGATGGTGCCTCTGATGGTCCCTCTGATGGTCCCTCTGATGGTCCCTATGATGGTCCCTCTGATGGTCCCTCTGATGGTCCCTCTGATGGTTCCTTTGATGGTCCCTCTGATGGTCCCTCTGATGGTCCCTCTGATGGTGCCTCTGATGGTCCCTATGATGGTCCCTCTGATGGTCCCTCTGATGGTGCCTCTGATGGTCCCTCTGATGGTCCCTCTGATGGTCCCTCTGATGGTCCCTCTGATGGTGCCTCTGATGGTGCCTCTGATGGTCCCTCTGATGGTCCCTCTGATGGTCCCTCTGATGGTCCCTCTGATGGTCCCTCTGATGGTGCCTCTGATGGTGCCTCTGATGGTCCCTATGATGGTCCCTCTGATGGTCCCTCTGATGGTCCCTATGATGGTCCCTCTGATGGTCCCTCTGATGGTCCCTCTGATGGTCCCTCTGATGGTCCCTCTGATGGTCCCTCTGATGGTCCCTCTGATGGTGCCTCTGATGGTGCCTCTGATGGTCCCTCTGATGGTCCCTCTGATGGTCCCTCTGATGGTCCCTCTGATGGTGCCTCTGATGGTGCCTCTGATGGTCCCTCTGATGGTCCCTCTGATGGTCCCTCTGATGGTCCCTCTGATGGTGCCTCTGATGGTGCCTCTGATGGTCCCTCTGATGGTCCCTCTGATGGTCCCTCTGATGGTCCCTCTGATGGTCCCTCTGATGGTCCCTCTGATGGTCCTTCTGATGGTCCCTCTGATGGTGCCTCTGATGGTGCCTCTGATGGTCCCTATGATGGTCCCTCTGATGGTCCCTCTGATGGTCCCTATGATGGTCCCTCTGATGGTCCCTCTGATGGTCCCTCTGATGGTGCCTCTGATGGTGCCTCTGATGGTCCCTCTGATGGTCCCTCTGATGGTCCCTCTGATGGTGCCTCTGATGGTGCCTCTGATGGTGCCTCTGATGGTCCCTCTGATGGTCCCTCTGATGGTCCCTCTGATGGTCCCTCTGATGGTGCCTCTGATGGTGCCTCTGATGGTCCCTCTGATGGTCCCTCTGATGGTCCCTCTGATGGTCCCTCTGATGGTGCCTCTGATGGTCCCTCTGATGGTCCCTCTGATGGTGCCTCTGATGGTCCCTCTGATGGTTCCTATGATGGTGCCTCTGATGGTCCCTCTGATGGTCCCTCTGATGGTGCCTCTGATGGTCCCTCTGATGGTCCCTCTGATGGTCCCTCTGATGGTGCCTCTGATGGTCCCTCTGATGGTCCCTCTGATGGTGCCTCTGATGGTCCCTATGATGGTCCCTCTGATGGTCCCTCTGATGGTCCCTCTGATGGTCCCTCTGATGGTGCCTCTGATGGTCCCTCTGATGGTGCCTCTGATGGTGCCTCTGATGGTGCCTCTGATGGTGCCTCTGATGGTCCCTCTGATGGTCCCTCTGATGGTCCCTCTGATGGTGCCTCTGATGGTCCCTCTGATGGTCCCTCTGATGGTGCCTCTGATGGTCCCTCTGATGGTCCCTCTGATGGTCCCTCTGATGGTCCCTCTGATGGTGCCTCTGATGGTCCCTCTGATGGTGCCTCTGATGGTCCCTCTGATGGTCCCTCTGATGGTGCCTCTGATGGTCCCTCTGATGGTCCCTCTGATGGTCCCTCTGATGGTCCCTCTGATGGTCCCTCTGATGGTCCCTCTGATGGTCCCTCTGATGGTGCCTCTGATGGTCCCTTGATGGTCCCTCTGATGGTCCCTCTGATGGTCCCTCTGATGGTCCCTCTGATGGTGCCCTCTGATGGTCCCTCTGATGGTGCCTCTGATGGTGCCTCTGATGGTGCCTCTGATGGTGCCTCTGATGGTCCCTCTGATGGTCCCTCTGATGGTCCCTCTGATGGTGCCTCTGATGGTCCTCTGATGGTCCCTCCCTGATGGTGCCTCTGATGGTCCCTCTGATGGTCCCTCTGATGGTCCCTCTGATGGTCCCTCTGATGGTGCCTCTGATGGTCCCTCTGATGGTGCCTCTGATGGTCCCTCTGATGGTCCCTCTGATGGTCCCTCTGATGGTCCCTCTGATGGTGCCTCTGATGGTCCCTCTGATGGTGTCTCTGATGGTGTCTGCAGGAGAGGAGACATGTGAACAAGGACCAGGGCGAGACTGAGGGCCTCAAAGTACAGAGCCCCTCCAAGAGGATGTCTGGGCGTGTGGGCCGGAGCCCCAGAGGAGGAGGAGGTGGTGGAGGAGGAGAAGGGGGAGGTGGAGGTGGGGGAAGAGGAGGAGTAGGAGGAAGAGGAGGCCCAGGGGGAGGAGGAGGAGGCCCAGGGGGAGGAGGAGGAGGAGGAGGTGGAGGTGGGGGAAGAGGAGGAGGCCCAGGGGGAGGAGGAGGAGGCCCAGGGGGAGGAGGAGGAGGAGGAGGCCCAGGAGGAGGAGGAGGAGGAGGCCAGCAGGAATGGAGCCCCCGGGAGGAGAGCAGTGGAGAGATGCCCAGTCGCAGAGGCGGCCGCGGGGGCAGGAGAGGACGCGGAGGAGACCGGGACACACCTGCTGCTAACGACCGCCGCTCCAAGGTAACGGCCTCTCTTTAGCCTCTTAGCCACGCGTTAGCCTGTTAGCCACGCTTTAGCCTCTTAGCCACGCCTTAGCCTGTTAGCCACGCTTTAGCCTCTTAGCCACGCGTTAGCCTGTTAGCCACGCTTTAGCCTGTTAGCCACGCTTTAGCCTGTTAGCCACGCTTTAGCCTCTTAGCCACGCTTTAGCCTCTTAGCCACGCTTTAGCCTGTTAGCCACGCTTTAGCCTCTTAGCCACGCTTTAGCCTCTTAGCCACGCTTTAGCCTGTTAGCCACGCTTTAGCCTGTTAGCCACGCTTTAGCCTGTTAGCCACGCTTTAGCCTGTTAGCCACGCTTTAGCCTCTTAGCCACGCTTTAGCCTCTTAGCCACGCTTTAGCCTGTTAGCCACGCTTTAGCCTGTTAGCCACGCTTTAGCCTGTTAGCCACGCTTTAGCCTGTTAGCCACGCTTTAGCCTCTTAGCCACGCTTTAGCCTCTTAGCCACGCTTTAGCCTGTTAGCCACGCTTTAGCCTGTTAGCCACCACGCTTTAGCCTCTTAGCCACGCTTTAGCCTCTTAGCCACGCTTTAGCCTGTTAGCCACGCTTTAGCCTGTTAGCCACGCCTTAGCCTGTTAGCCACGCCTTAGCCTGTTAGCCACGCTTTAGCCTGTTAGCCACGCTTTAGCCTGTTAGCCACGCTTTAGCCTCTTAGCCACGTTTTAGCCTCTTAGCCACGCTTTAGCCTCTTAGCCACGCTTTAGCCTGTTAGCCACGCTTTAGCCTCTTAGTCACGCTTTAGCCTGTTAGCCACGCTTTAGCCTGTTAGCCACGCTTTAGCCTGTTAGCCACGCTTTAGCCTGTTAGCCACGCTTTAGCCTCTTAGCCACGTTTTAGCCTCTTAGCCACGCTTTAGCCTCTTAGTCACGCTTTAGCCTGTTAGCCACGCTTTAGCCTGTTAGCCACGCTTTAGCCTGTTAGCCACGCTTTAGCCTGTTAGCCACGCTTTAGCCTGTTAGCCACGCTTTAGCCTCTTAGCCACGCTTTAGCCTCTTAGCCACGCTTTAGCCTCTTAGCCACGCGTTAGCCTGTTAGCCACGCTTTAGCCTGTTAGCCACGTTTTAGCCTGTTAGCCACGCTTTAGCCTCTTAGCCACGCTTTAGCCTCTTAGCCACGCTTTAGCCTCTTAGCCACGCTTTAGCCTCTTAGCCACGCTTTAGCCTGTTAGCCACGCTTTAGCCTGTTAGCCACGCTTTAGCCTCTTAGCCACGCTTTAGCCTCTTAGCCACGCTTTAGCCTGTTAGCCACGCTTTAGCCTGTTAGCCACGCTTTAGCCTCTTAGCCACGCTTTAGCCTCTTAGCCACGCTTTAGCCTCTTAGCCACGCTTTAGCCTGTTAGCCACGCTTTAGCCTCTTAGCCACGCTTTAGCCTGTTAGCCACGCTTTAGCCTCTTAGCCACGCTTTAGCCTCTTAGCCACGCTTTAGCCTGTTAGCCACGCTTTAGCCTGTTAGCCACGCCTTAGCCTGTTAGCCACGCCTTAGCCTGTTAGCCACGCTTTAGCCTGTTAGCCACGCTTTAGCCTGTTAGCCACGCTTTAGCCTCTTAGCCACGTTTTAGCCTCTTAGCCACGCTTTAGCCTCTTAGCCACGCTTTAGCCTGTTAGCCACGCTTTAGCCTCTTAGTCACGCTTTAGCCTGTTAGCCACGCTTTAGCCTGTTAGCCACGCTTTAGCCTGTTAGCCACGCTTTAGCCTGTTAGCCACGCTTTAGCCTCTTAGCCACGTTTTAGCCTCTTAGCCACGCTTTAGCCTCTTAGTCACGCTTTAGCCTGTTAGCCACGCTTTAGCCTGTTAGCCACGCTTTAGCCTGTTAGCCACGCTTTAGCCTGTTAGCCACGTTTTAGCCTCTTAGCCACGCTTTAGCCTCTTAGCCACGCTTTAGCCTCTTAGCCACGCTTTAGCCTGTTAGCCACGCTTTAGCCTGTTAGCCACGCTTTAGCCTGTTAGCCACGTTTTAGCCTCTTAGCCACGCTTTAGCCTCTTAGCCACGCTTTAGCCTGTTAGCCACGCTTTAGCCTCTTAGCCACGCTTTAGCCTGTTAGCCACGCTTTAGCCTGTTAGCCACGCTTTAGCCTCTTAGCCACGCTTTAGCCTGTTAGCCACGCTTTAGCCTGTTAGCCACGCTTTAGCCTGTTTGCCACGCCTTAGCCTGTTAGCCACGCCTTAGCCTGTTAGCCACGCTTTAGCCTGTTAGCCACGCTTTAGCCTCTTAGCCACGCTTTAGCCTGTTAGCCACGCTTTAGCCTCTTAGCCACGCTTTAGCCTGTTAGCCACGCTTTAGCCTGTTAGCCACGCTTTAGCCTCTTAGCCACGCTTTAGCCTGTTAGCCACGCTTTAGCCTGTTAGCCACGCTTTAGCCTGTTAGCCACGCTTTAGCCTGTTAGCCACGCTTTAGCCTGTTAGCCACGCTTTAGCCTGTTAGCCACGCTTTAGCCTGTTAGCCACGTTTTAGCCTCTTAGCCACGCTTTAGCCTCTTAGCCACGCTTTAGCCTGTTACCACGCTTTAGCCTGTTAGCCACGCTTTAGCCTGTTAGCCACGCACGCTTTAGCCTTTAGCTTAGCCACGCTTTAGCCTGTTAGCCACGCTTTAGCCTGTTAGCCACGCTTTAGCCTCTTAGCCACGCTTTAGCCTGTTAGCCACGCTTTAGCCTCTTAGCCACGCTTTAGCCTGTTAGCCACGCTTTAGCCTCAGCCTGTTTGCCACGCCTTAGCCTGTTAGCCACGCCTTAGCCTGTTAGCCACGCTTTAGCCTGTTAGCCACGCTTTAGCCTGTTAGCCACGCTTTAGCCTCTTAGCCACGTTTTAGCCTCTTAGCCACGCTTTAGCCTCTTAGCCACGCTTTAGCCTGTTAGCCACGCTTTAGCCTCTTAGCCACGCTTTAGCCTGTTAGCCACGCTTTAGCCTGTTAGCCACGCTTTAGCCTGTTAGCCACGCTTTAGCCTGTTAGCCACGCTTTAGCCTGTTTGCCACGCCTTAGCCTGTTAGCCACGCCTTAGCCTGTTAGCCACGCTTTAGCCTGTTAGCCACGCTTTAGCCTGTTAGCCACGCTTTAGCCTGTTAGCCACGCTTTAGCCTGTTAGCCACGCTTTAGCCTGTTAGCCACGTTTTAGCCTCTTAGCCACGCTTTAGCCTGTTAGCCACGCTTTAGCCTCTTAGCCACGCTTTAGCCTCTTAGCCACGCTTTAGCCTGTTAGCCACGTTTTAGCCTCTTAGCCACGCTTTAGCCTCTTAGCCACGCTTTAGCCTGTTAGCCACGCTTTAGCCTCTTAGCCACGCTTTAGCCTGTTAGCCACGCTTTAGCCTCTTAGCCACGCTTTAGCCTGTTAGCCACGCTTTAGCCTCTTAGCCACGCTTTAGCCTGTTAGCCACGCTTTAGCCTGTTAGCCACGCTTTAGCCTGTTAGCCACGCTTTAGCCTCTTAGCCACGCTTTAGCCTGTTAGCCACGCTTTAGCCTCTTAGCCACGCTTTAGCCTGTTAGCCACGCTTTAGCCTGTTAGCCACGCTTTAGCCTCTTAGCCACGCTTTAGCCTGTTAGCCACGCTTTAGCCTCTTAGCCACGCTTTAGCCTCTTAGCCACGCTTTAGCCTGTTAGCCACGCTTTAGCCTGTTAGCCACGCTTTAGCCTCTTAGCCACGCTTTAGCCTGTTAGCCACGCTTTAGCCTGTTAGCCACGCTTTAGCCTCTTAGCCACGTTTTAGCCTCTTAGCCACGCTTTAGCCTCTTAGCCACGCTTTAGCCTGTTAGCCACGCTTTAGCCTCTTAGCCACGCTTTAGCCTCTTAGCCACGCTTTAGCCTGTTAGCCACGCTTTAGCCTGTTAGCCACGCTTTAGCCTGTTAGCCACGCTTTAGCCTGTTAGCCACGCTTTAGCCTGTTAGCCACGCTTTAGCCTCTTAGCCACGCTTTAGCCTGTTAGCCACGCTTTAGCCTGTTAGCCACGCTTTAGCCTCTTAGCCACGTTTTAGCCTCTTAGCCACGTTTTAGCCTGTTAGCCACGCTTTAGCCTGTTAGCCACGCTTTAGCCTGTTAGCCACGCTTTAGCCTGTTAGCCACGCTTTAGCCTCTTAGCCACGCTTTAGCCTGTTAGCCACGCTTTAGCCTGTTAGCCACGCTTTAGCCTCTTAGCCACGTTTTAGCCTGTTAGCCACGTTTTAGCCTCTTAGCCACGCTTTAGCCTCTTAGCCACGCTTTAGGGTCTGAGAGGGTCTGAGAGGGTCTGAGAGGGTCTGAGAGGGTCTGAGAGGGTCTGAGAGGGTCTGTGAGGGTCTGAGAGGGTCTGAGAGGGTCTGAGAGGGTCTGAGAGGGTCTGAGAGGGTCTGTGAGGGTCTGAGAGGGTCTGTGAGAGTCTGAGAGGGTCTGTGAGAGTCTGAGAGGGTCTGAGAGGGTCTGAGAGGGTCTGAGAGGGTCTGAGAGGGTCTGAGGGTCTGCTTTTGTTTTTGCTTTTACAGTGAGTAAACGACGTGACGTCAGAGACGTGTGTAACGTTACTTTGGTTTGTGCCAAAGTATTAATGCATTTAACTGACAGCACTGACACACACTGACCCACAACACCGTTGATGGTTAGGGTTGATGGTTAGGGTTGATGGTTAGGGTTGATGGTTAGGGTTGATGGTTAGGGTTGATGGTTAGGGTTGATAGTTAAGGTTGATGGTTAGGGTTGATGGTTAGGGTTGATAGTTAAGGTTGATGGTTAGGGTTGATGGTTCATATAATGATATATCTATATTGATTCACAGCAGAGCTACGTTAGCGGCACAATCAAAAACAAATGTAGCCAACCACCTTGACTCCAGAGGCTCGGCTGAAGTTGGCTGGATGACACTGTGAAAGTCCCTCAATGGAAACTTTTGTGAGCGGCCACATAACATGTCACATCGGGCCGCATTTGGCCCGCGGGCCTGAGTTTGGACGTGCCGGATGTTTTCATTAGCTACGTTTTAAAAAGAGAAGACTGTGATGGACCCTTCACCTGAGGAGGAGGAGGAGAAGGAGGAGGAGGAGAAGGAGGAGGAGGAGGAAGAGAAGGAGAAGGAGAAGGAGGAGGAGGAGGAGAAGGAGAAGGAGGAGGAGGAGAAGGAGGAGAAGGAGGAGAAGGAGGAGAAGGAGGAGGAGGAGGAGGAGAATGAGAAGGAGAAGGAGAAGGAGGAGAAGGAGGAGAAGGAGGAGGAGAATGAGAAGGAGGAGGAGGAGGAGGAGACACTGCGGACCTGGGCTAAAACCACGTTATTTTTTTATGATTATAGTTGTTATTAAAGTTATTAAAGTTATTGTAGTTAAACTGGTATTATCGTCTCTAGCACATGTTTAAATGTCGGCGTTTACAGAAAAATACAAATGACTTCATCAACAGCAGCTCTCAGCCCAAAGACGCATTTATCGACTCAAAGGGCGTTCGTTTTTCATGAAAACGACCAAAGCCCATTGGTCCAAACTCAGCTTAAACGGTGAGGTCCGCAGAGGTCACAGTGAGGTCCGCAGGTCACAGTGAGGTCCGCAGAGGTCACAGTGAGGTCCGCAGAGGTCACAGTGAGGTCCGCAGAGGTCACAGTGAGGTCCGCAGAAGTTACAGTGAGGTCCGCAGAGGTCACAGTGAGGTCCGCAGAGGTCACAGTGAGGTCCGCAGAGGTCACAGTGAGGTCCGCAGAGGTCACAGTGAGGTCCGCAGAGGTCACAGTGAGGTCCGCAGAGGTCACAGTGAGGTCCGCAGAGGTCACAGTGAGGTCCACAGAGGTCACAGTGAGGTCCACAGAGGTCACAGTGAGGTCCACAGAGGTCACAGTGAGGTCCACAGAGGTCACAGTGAGGTCCACAGAAGTCACAGTGAGGTCCGCAGAGGTCACAGTGAGGTCCGCAGAGGTCACAGTGAGGACCACAGAAGTCACAGTGAGGTCCACAGAGGTCACAGTGAGGTCCACAGAAGTCACAGTGAGGTCCGCAGAGGTCACAGTGAGGTCCGCAGAGGTCACAGTGAGGTCCGCAGAAGTCACAGTGAGGTCCGCAGAGGTCACAGTGAGGTCCGCAGAGGTCACAGTGAGGTCCGCAGAGGTCACAGTGAGGTCCGCAGAGGTCACAGTGAGGTCCGCAGAGATCACAGTGAGGTCCCCCCACAGTGAGGTCCCCCAGCTTAAACAGTGAGGTCCGCAGAGGTCACAGTGAGGTCCCCCCACAGTGAGGTCCCCCAGCTTAAACAGTGAGGTCCGCAGAGGTCACAGTGAGGTCCACAGAGGTCACAGTGAGGTCCGCAGAGGTCACAGTGAGGTCCACAGAGGTCACAGTGAGGTCCGCAGAGGTCACAGTGAGGTCCGCAGAGGTCACAGTGAGGTCCGCAGAGATCACAGTGAGGTCCCCCCACAGTGAGGTCCCCCAGCTTAAACAGTGAGGTCCGCAGAGGTCACAGTGAGGTCCCCCCACAGTGAGGTCCCCCAGCTTAAACAGTGAGGTCCGCAGAGGTCACAGTGAGGTCCACAGAGGTCACAGTGAGGTCCACAGAGGTCACAGTGAGGTCCGCAGAGGTCACAGTGAGGTCCGCAGAGGTCACAGTGACGCGCTGCGAAGTCTCCAAAAGTGCGCAGTAAAAGGATCCAAAGTCCAGAGGTCCACAGCAGTTTGATGCAAAGTGCTCCTCATCCTCCTCCTCTTCATCCCAGAGTCAGCTCTCTCTCTGCGGACACGCGGTGACGCTGCTCCCGTTAAACTGCGCGTCCGACGGCTTCCAGAAGAACACGTAGTAAATGACCAGGACGAAGGCGGCCACAGAGACGCACATGAAGTACGCCACGGCCATGGCCACTTTGACCCAGAGGCGCGCCGACCTGCGGGCCTGCTTGTCCCGCAGCTCCCCGGGGTAGCTCGGCCTCCTCCTCAGCTCCCCCCCGGTCTGCTCTCCGCTGCTGGAGGCTTTCATCGGGCTGGAGAAGAGACGGGATCAGGCTGGAGCAGGAGGCGGTGTGAGGAGGAGGAGGTGTGGGGAGGAGGAGGAGGAGGAGGAGGCATAGATGGAGCCGGACCTGGGACTGTCACAGCGGGGTGCAGGAGAGTTGTGGAGCTCCGCGGACAGGACCGTGGGCAGGACCGAGGACAGGACCGTGGATAGGACCGTGGGCAGGACCGAGGACAGGACCGCGGCACAGTTCACAGCAGCGCGTCCGGGAGAAACCTTTCAGAATAAACGTGAAGAAAGTGAAAGGACCGCGCACTGACGGTTTGCTCAGATCCCAGGGACAGGCTTCATCATCACAGGTGCGTGGATCTTCCGCTCAGTGCAGTGGGGCCCGTGTGTCCAGGCGGCCGCAGGGACGACCTTCCCTGGTCTGCGCTGGGTCGCTCTGACGCATTAGCCCGGCTCTCCACATGGGCTCCCCTCGCCCCGACCCCGAAGAACACGTGACCAGCCCTGCAGAAGCAAGGACCAGAGACCACAGTCCCAACGAAGAGGGGGGGGGGGGGGGGGGGGGGGGGGGGGGGGGGGGTCCTGCAGCAGATCCAGATAATAATCCCTGAGTTATTCGGTTTCAAACTTTTCTTTGGGCACTCCGCAGAGAGCCATGAGAGAGTTTATGTTGTACTTTTACTTCTATGTTTCACCTGAAAACTTCAGACTGTGGCTTCTTTCTGCTCTTTAATGTGCAAAGGTGACTCAGCTTCAACTTCTGCACATTTTGATAAGAATAAATACATGAAAAACTGAAAAATGAGGTTTAATTTAGTTCCATTGAAGATCAGGATCAGGTCAAGGCCAAAGAGTGAGCATTAGATATGACCTATGACCTGCAGGTGGACGAACACGACTCTGAAGGACTCTGTGTATCCATGTCATGACTCTGACACGCTCCAACACGCTCCAACACGCTCTAACACGCTCTAACACGCTCTAACACGCTCCAACACGCTCCGAAACGCTCCGAAACGCTCCGACACGCTCCAACACGCTCCAACACGCTCTAAGACGCTCTAAGACGCTCTAAGACGCTCTAAGACACTCTGACACGCTCCAACACGCTCTGAAACGCTCTGAAACGCTCTGACACGCTCCAACACGCTCTAAGACGCTCTAAGACACTCTGACACGCTCCAACACGCTCTGAAACGCTCTGAAACGCTCTGACACGCTCCAACACGCTCTAACACGCTCTAAGATGCTCTAAGACACTCTGACACGCTCCAACACGCTCCAACACGCTCCGACACGCTCTAACACGCTCCAACACGTTCCAACACGCTCTAAGACGCTCTAACACGCTCTAACACGCTCTAACACGCTCTAACACGCTCTAACACGCTCCAACACGCTCTAACACGCTCCAACACGCTCCGAAACGCTCTGAAACGCTCCAACACGCTCCAACACGCTCTAAGACGCTCTAAGACGCTCTGACACGCTCCAACACGTTCCAACACGCTCTAAGACGCTCCGACACGCTCCGACACGCTCTGACACGCTCCAACACGTTCCAACACGCTCTAAGACGCTCTAAGACGCTCTAAGACGCTCCGACACGCTCTAACACGCTCTAAGATGCTCTAAGACACTCTGACACGCTCCAACACGCTCCAACACGTTCCAACACGCTCTAAGACGCTCCGACACGCTCCGACACGCTCTGACACGCTCTGACACGCTCCAACACGTTCCAACACGCTCTAAGACGCTCTAAGACGCTCCGACACGCTCTAACACGCTCTAAGATGCTCTAAGACACTCTGACACGCTCCAACACGCTCCAACACGTTCCAACACGCTCTAAGACGCTCCGACACGCTCCGACACGCTCTAACACGCTCTAACACGCTCTGACACGCTCTGACACGCTCCAACACGCTCTAAGACGCTCTAACACGCTCTAACACGCTCCAACACGTTCCAACACGCTCTAAGACGGTCTAAGACGCTCCGACACGCTCCGACACGCTCTGACACGCTCCAACACGTTCCAACACGCTCTAAGACGCTCTAAGACGCTCTAACACGCTCCAACACGTTCCAACACGCTCTAAGACGCTCTAAGACGCTCTGACACGCTCCAACACGTTCCAACACGCTCTAAGACGCTCTAAGACGCTCCGACACGCTCCGACACGCTCCGACACGCTCTGACACGCTCCAGCGCGCTCCAACACGTTCCAACACGCTCCAACACGCTCCGACACGCTCTGACACGCTCCAACACGCTCTAAGACGCTCTAAGACGCTCCGACACGCTCGACACGCTCTGACACGCTCCGACACGCTCCAACACGCTCCGACACGCTCCGACACGCTCCAACACGTTCCAACACGCTCTAAGACGCTCTAAGACGCTCTAAGACGCTCTAACACGCTCCAACACGTTCCAACACGCTCTAAGACGCTCCGACACGCTCCGACACGCTCCAACGCGCTCCAACACGCTCCAACACGCTCCGACACGCTCTGACACGCTCCAACACGCTCCAACACGTTCCAACACGCTCTAAGACGCTCTAAGACGCTCCGACACGCTCCGACACGCTCCGACACGCTCCAACACGCTCCAACACACTCTAACACGCTCTAACATGCTCTAACACGCTCTAACACGCTCTAACACGCACTAACACACTCCGACACGCTCCAACACGCTCTAACACGCTCTAACACGCTCTAAGACGCTCTAAGACGTTCTAACACGCTCCGACACGCTCCAACACGCTCTAACACACTCTAACACGCTCTAACACACTCCGACACGCTCCGACACCCACTCCCAAGCTCTAACCTCTAACACGCTCGACACGCTCTAACACTCGGCTCCACCGCCATCACCCGTACACGCCTACACACGCCTCACACGCTCTAACGCTACACGCTCTAAGACGTTCTAACACGCTCCGACACGCTCCAACACGCTCTAACACACTCTAACACGCTCTAACACACTCCGACACGCTCCGACACGCTCCGACACGCTCTAACACGCTCCGACACGCTCTAACACTCGGCACGGTGGCTGAGTGGATAGCACTCTCGCCTCTCAGCAAGAAGGTCCTGGGTTCGAATCCCGGTCGGACCAGGGCCTTTCTGAGTGGAGTTTGCATGTTCTCCCCGTGTCTGCGTAGGTTTCCTCCGGGTACTCCGGTTTCCCCTACCACTAAAAATATGTCCAATAGTTCTAGCATGTGCCTCCTGTACTGGCCCCTCCCATCTCTGTGTGGAGTGAGAGACAAATGCCCAAAATTAACAATTGTAAACCGCTTTGAGACTCAGATCTGCAGTGAAAAGGCGGTATATAAATAAAAGATTACTTACTTACTTACTAACACACTCTAACACACTCTAACACGCTCTAACACGCTCTAAGACGTTCTAACACGCCCCAACACGTCTGTCTTTGTGTGACGTCACAGACTTTAAAAACTGTCTGAAACCACTGGAACCTGAGAGAGAAACATAAATAAACTTCCAGAGCTCTGGTGCGCCACGGTCCGTCTCTGTCTGGTTCATTTCCCACAGATTTGGAGGAAAGATGCGAGGGGTCAGAGGTCAAGGAGACACCAAAGCTCAGAGGTCAGGGGTGAAGGTCGAGGAGCTGGAACCTGTAGGAGCTAAAAGCATAGGTTTCATGGTCCTGTTTGATGTTTCATGGTCCCGTTTGTTGTTTCATGGTCCTGTTTGTTGTTTCATGGTCCTGTTGGATGTTTCATGGTCTTGTTTGTTGTTTCATGGTCCCGTTTGTTGTTTCATGGTCCTGTTTGTTGTTTCATGGTCCTGTTTGATGTTTCATGGTCCTGTTTGATGTTTCATGGTCCTGTTTGATGTTTCATGGTCCTGTTTGATGGTCCTGTTGGATGTTTCATGGTCCTGTTTGATGGTCCTGTTTGTTGTTTGATGGTCCTGTTTGATGGTCCTGTTTGATGGTCTGACTCTGAGGACAAAGGTTCAACAGGAATCTGACCTTTATTTCATTTTCACACAGAAACATGATCATTTAGGATAAACTTGGTTTAGTTTGCACAAAGCCTGTGACATTCAGAGGGAGCGGCCTCAGCGAGAGCCGGGTCTGGGTCTGGGTCTGGACCTGGACCTGGACCCACCGCTGTTTCTAAATCACTGTTTTCTTATTCAAGTGAAAAACAATTGGACACATGTCGTTTCCTCGTCTCTGATGAACTGGGATCGAGGAGAAGCAGCTCCAGCGAAAGGAACATTCATGATTAGGTCAGAATTTATTTCAACTAAACTAAAGACTGAACATGATCGACTGAAACAGGAAACCTCCGAGACAAACACCACCATTAACCCGGTTTAACACTGAGGTGGGACCAGACCAGACCCAGTCCTCCTCAGACCCTGTAGACCGGCCTGACCCTGGGTCTCCCTCAGACCCTGTAGACCGGCCTGAGCCTGGGTCTCCCCCAGACCCTGTAGACCGGCCTGAGCCTGGGTCTCCCTCAGACCCTGTAGACCGGCCTGAGCCTGGGTCTCCCTCAGACCCTGTAGACCGGCCTGAGCCTGGGTCTCCCTCAGACCCTGTAGACCGGCCTGAGCCTGGGTCTCCCTCAGACCCTGTAGACCGGCCTGAGCCTGGGTCTCCCTCAGACCCTGTAGACCGGCCTGAGCCTGGGTCTCCCTCAGACCCTGTAGACCGGCCTGAGCCTGGGTCTCCCTCAGACCCTGTAGACCGGCCTGAGCCTGGGTCTCATTTGATTTCATGTTGGTTCTTCATGATCTTGAACCTTTAACTTTGGCATTTCATGTTAAAAAACTTTAAATAATGTCTTAAAAAAATTCAGCTGCCACACCGCCCTCTGCTGGTGTCCGGGAGGATCACAGCCCCCCATGCAGGCATTTAGACACCATGTGTGAACAAAGAAATACATCTAACGTCTTTCAAAAGAAAACATTTGAATCATGTAAGCACACACTCCTGACAGCATGGACGGAGCTAAACACAGCTCCAGCTCGTCTGTGAGCTGTGTTGTGCAGAGGTGCATTACAGCAGTTCATGAGTGTAACGTGACATCACAGGATGAGGCTGAGACATGGATCCGTGGCTTCTGAATCCCAGTGATCCCAGTCTGTGGCAGGTTCTGAAGCAAACCCAGGCTGGACGTGCGATTGGCCGAGAGCTGGCAGTGGGCGGGGCCAGAGGAGCCGATCATGCCTCACACCTGCTGTCAGTCTGCAAACAGAACACAATCAGTCTATGTCCTCCCTTTTCCTCTGTCTGGGAACATGTTAGAAATCCACCATAGACTGCTTTGTAAACACACACCTGTGATGTCACACACCTGTGATGTCACACACCTGTGATGTCACACACTGAGCCAGAACAACAGCAGACACACTTCTCCTCCATTCATTTCTATGATCTTACTTTAAAATCATAAAAGTGAATATTGTAAAGATCAGGTTTAAATAAACAAATAATGGATCTTTGAAAACATCATTAGTAGTAGCAGCAGCAGTAGCAGCAGCAGCAGTAACAGCAGTAGCAGCAGCAGCAGCAGCAGCAGCAGCAGCAGTAGCAGTAGCAGCAGCAGCAGTAGCAGCAGTAGCAGCAGTAGCAGCAGTAGCAGCAGTAGCAGCAGTAGCAGCAGCAGCAGCAGCAGCAGCAGCAGCAGCAGCAGCAGCAGCAGCAGCAGCAGCAGTAGCAGCAGCAGCAGCAGCAGCAGCAGCAGCAGCAGCAGCAGCAGCAGCAGCAGCAGCAGCAGCAGCAGCAGCAGCAGCAGCAGCAGCAGCAGCAGCAGCAGCAGCAGTAACAGCAGCAGCAGCAGCAGCAGCAGCAGCAGCAGCAGGTCTGGATCAGGCTGGTGTCTGGTGGAAGTGGAGCAGAGCTAATAGAATCAACAACAGCCTCCAACATGGGCTCATTTCCTCTCATCATCATCATCATCATCAGTCTCAGAAGAATCAAACAGATTTCAGTTCTGACACAAAGCTGAGGTTGTGGTTTTAAAGGACACAGATGATGATGATGAAGATGAAGAGGACACAGATGATGATGATGACACAGATGATGACGATGAAGAGGACACAGATGATGATGATGAAGATGATGATGAAGAGGACACAGATGATGATGATACAGATGATGATGATGAAGAGGACACAGATGATGATGATGAAGAGGACACAGATGATGATGATGACACAGATGATGATGATGATGATGAAGAGGACACAGATGATGATGATGATGAAGAGGACACAGATGATGATGATGATGAGGACAAAGATGATGATGATGAGGACACAGATGATGAAGATGATGATGACACAGATGAAGATGATGATGACACAGATGATGATGATGACACAGATGATGAAGATGATGATGATGACACAGATGATGATGATGACACAGATGATGAAGATGACACAGATGATGACGATGATGACACAGATGATGACGATGATGACACAGATGATGAAGATGACACAGATGATGATGATGACACAGATGATGAAGATGATGATGATGACACAGAAGATGAAGATGACACAGATGATGATGACACAGATGATGACACAGATGATGAAGATGGTGATGATGACACAGATGATGAAGATGACACAGATGATGATGACACAGATGATGATGATGACACAGATGATGAAGATGATGATGATGACACAGATGATGAAGATGACACAGATGATGACGATGATGACACAGATGATGATGAGGACACAGATGATGATGATGATGACACAGATGATGAAGAGGACACAGATGATGATGAAGATGATACAGATGATGAAGAGGACACAGATGATGATGATGAGGACACAGATGATGAAGATGAGGACACAGATGATGATGATGACACAGATGATGATGATGACACAGATGATGAAGAGGACACAGATGATGATGATGATGAGGACACAGATGATGAAGATGACACAGATGATGAAGATGACACAGATGATGATGATGAAGAGGACACAGATGATGAAGAGGATACAGATGATGAAGATGACACAGATGATGATGATGATGATGATGATGATGATGATGATGATGATGGTGATGTGATGACACAGAGTCAGGTCTCTAACACCAGAGCGGATCCAGAGGTGTCAGTTCTATGGTATCATTTAGCCCTGGTTGTGTTTCAGACAGTGGGCGGGGTCCTGGGGGGTCCCAGTGGGTCCCACCCAAAGACTGTAAATATTAACAAACAGTGACGCCTATCTCCGCCGTTGAAACTAATTTAAACAGCTGCATGAGCTCCATTCATTTAATGAGTGCATTCTGAAGTCCACAGCGGCTAAACTGGACTGGTCCAAAAACATACACCGCCCTCAACACCAACTTCTGGACCACCCTGTAAAGACGTTTAAAAGGTAAGAAGTCATTTAGCATTGGCTAATTCTTATTCCAGTACACCCCCACAGGCCCAGGGTGGTACTGCAGCATGTCAGGGTCCACCCCCACAGGCCCAGGGTGGTACTGCAGCATGTCAGGGTCCACCCCCACAGGCCCGGGGTGGTACTGCAGCATGTCAGGGTCCACCCCCACGGCCCGGGGTGGTACTGCAGCATGTCAGGGTCCACCCCCACAGGCCCGGGGTGGTACTGCAGCATGTCAGGGTCCACCCCCACAGGCCCAGGGTGGTACTGCAGCATGTCAGGGTCCACCCCCACAGGCCCGGGGTGGTACTGCAGCATGTCAGGGTCCACACCCACAGGCCCAGGGTGGTACTGCAGCATGTCAGGGTCCACCCCCACAGGCCCGGGGTGGTACTGCAGCATGTCAGGGTCCACCCCCACAGGCCCAGGGTGGTACTGCAGCATGTCAGGGTCCACACCCACAGGCCCAGGGTGGTACTGCAGCATGTCAGGGTCCACACCCACAGGCCCAGGGTGGTACTGCAGCATGTCAGGGTCCACCCCCACAGGCCCGGGGTGGTACTGCAGCATGTCAGGGTCCACCCCCACAGGCCCAGGATGGTACTGCAGCATGTCAGGGTCCACCCCCACAGGCCCAGGGTGGTACTGCAGCATGTCAGGGTCCACACCCACAGGCCCAGGGTGGTACTGCAGCATGTCAGGGTCCACCCCCACAGGCCCGGGGTGGTACTGCAGCATGTCAGGGTCCACCCCCACAGGCCCAGGGTGGTACTGCAGCATGTCAGGGTCCACCCCCACAGGCCCAGGGTGGTACTGCAGCATGTCAGCGCACCTCATTTTGGACATTTTTGAGCCAGGACCCGCCCACACTGGACCCACCTCAGAAGGGTCCATGACACTAAAGTGGCTCTTGGTCCAAAAGTGGCTCTTGGTCCAAAAGTGGCTCTTGGTCCAAAAGTGGCTCTTGGTCCTAAAGTGGCTCTTGGTCCAAAAGTGGCTCTTGGTCCTAAAGTGGCTCTTGGTCCTAAAGTGGCTCTTGGTCCAAAAGTGGCTCTTGGTCCAAAAGTGGTTCTTGGTCTAAAAGTGGCTCTTGGTCCAAAAGTGGCTCTTGGTCCAAAAGTGGTTCTTGGTCCTAAAGTGGCTCTTGGTCCAAAAGTGGCTCTTGGTCCAAAAGTGGTTCTTGGTCTAAAAGTGGCTCTTGGTCCAAAAGTGGCTCTTGGTCCTGAAGTGGTTCTTGGTCCAAAAGTGGTTCTTGGTCCAAAAGTGGTTCTTGGTCCAAAAGTGGCTCTTGGTCCAAAAGTGGCTCTTGGTCCAAAAGTGGCTCTTGGTCCAAAAGTGGCTCTTGGTCCAAAAGTGGCTCTTGGTCCAAAAGTGGTTCTTCTTCCAAAAGTGGCTCTTGGTCCAAAAGTGGCTCTTGGTCCAAAAGTGGCTCTTGGTCCAAAAGTGGTTCTTGGTCCAAAAGTGGTTCTTGGTCCAAAAGTGGCTCTTGGTCCAAAAGTGGCTCTTGGTCCAAAAGTGGCTCTTGGTCCTAAAGTGGCTCTTGGTCCAAAAGTGGCTCTTGGTCCTAAAGTGGCTCTTGGTCCTAAAGTGGCTCTTGGTCCAAAAGTGGCTCTTGGTCCAAAAGTGGTTCTTGGTCTAAAAGTGGCTCTTGGTCCTAAAGTGGCTCTTGGTCCAAAAGTGGCTCTTGGTCCAAAAGTGGTTCTTGGTCCTAAAGTGGCTCTTGGTCCAAAAGTGGCTCTTGGTCCAAAAGTGGTTCTTGGTCTAAAAGTGGCTCTTGGTCCAAAAGTGGCTCTTGGTCCTGAAGTGGTTCTTGGTCCAAAAGTGGTTCTTGGTCCAAAAGTGGTTCTTGGTCCAAAAGTGGCTCTTGGTCCAAAAGTGGCTCTTGGTCCAAAAGTGGCTCTTGGTCCAAAAGTGGTTCTTCTTCCAAAAGTGGCTCTTGGTCCAAAAGTGGCTCTTGGTCCAAAAGTGGCTCTTGGTCCAAAAGTGGTTCTTGGTCCAAAAGTGGTTCTTGGTCCAAAAGTGGTTCTTGGTCCAAAAGTGGTTCTTGGTCCAAAAGTGGCTCTTGGTCCAAAAGTGGTTCTTCTTCCAAAAGTGGCTCTTGGTCCAAAAGTGGCTCTTGGTCCAAAGTGTCTTGCAAAAGTGGTTCTTGGTCCAAAAGTGGTTCTTGGTCCAAAAGTGGTTCTTGGTCCAAAAGTTTCTCCAAAGTGGTTCTTGGTCCAAAAGTGGTTCTTGGTCCAAAAGTGGTCTTGGTCCAAAAGTGGTTCTTGGTCCAAAAGTGGCTCTTGGTCCAAAAGTGGCTCTTGGTCCAAAAGTGGTTCTTGGTCCAAAAGTGGTTCTTGGTCCAAAAGTGGTTCTTGGTCCAAAAAGTGGTTCTTGGTCCAAAAGTGGTTCTTGGTCCAAAAGTGGTTCTTGGTCCAAAAGTGGCTCTTGGTCCAAAAGTGGTTCTTCTTCCAAAAGTGGCTCTTGGTCCAAAAGTGGCTCTTGGTCCAAAAGTGGTTCTTGGTCCAAAAGTGGTTCTTGGTCCAAAAGTGGTTCTTGGTCCAAAAGTGGTTCTTGGTCCAAAAGTGGTTCTTGGTCCAAAAGTGGTTCTTGGTCCAAAAGTGGTTCTTGGTCCTCTTGGTTCCAGATGCTGTCTATGTTGAGGAGTGTATGTTTTTGGACCAGTTTAGTTTCGCCGCTGTGGACTCGTTAATTGAATGTTTTTTTTTTCACATTTTCCTGAGGGAGGGGCTGCCCGCGGCCATTTTGTAAAGGACGGCAGGAGGGAAAAGTGATGTCACATTAGTTTCAACATCTTTAATATTTACAGTCTATGGTTTCAGACAGTGATGAAGAGTGAAGTCAGTACTGCTACTGCTACTGATACTGCTGCTGATACTGCTACTACTACTACTGCTGCTGCTGCTGATACTGCTGCTGCTGCTGCTGCTGATACTGCTGCTGCTGCTGATACTGCTGCTGATACTGCTGCTACTGATACTGCTGCTGATACTGCTGCTGCTGCTACTGCTGCTGATACTGCTGCTACTGATACTGCTGCTGATACTGCTGCTGATACTGCTGCTGATACTGCTGCTGATACTGCTGCTACTGCTGCTACTGCTGATACTGCTGCTGATACTGCTGCTGCTACCGCTGCTGATACTGCTGCTGCTGCTACTGCTGCTACTGCTACTGCTGCTGATACTGCTGCTGCTGATACTGCTGCTGATACTGCTGCTGATACTGCTGCTGATACTGCTGCTACTGCTGATACTGCTGCTGCTACCGCTGCTGATACTGCTGCTGCTGCTACTGCTGCTACTGCTACTGCTGCTGATACTGCTGCTGCTGATACTGCTGCTGATACTGCTGCTGATACTGCTGCTACTGCTGCTACTGCTGATACTGCTGCTGATACTGCTGCTGCTGATACTGCTGCTGCTGATACTGCTGCTGCTACTGCTGCTGCTGCTGCTGCTACTGCTGCTGATACTGCTGCTACTGCTGCTGATACTGCTACTACTGCTGCTGCTACTGCTGCTGATACTGCTGCTACTGCTGCTGATACTGCTGCTGCTGCTGCTACTGCTGCTACTGCTGCTGATACTGCTGCTGCTACTGCTGCTACTGCTGCTGATGTTTTTACTGCTGCTGCTGCTGCTGATGTTTTTACTGCTGCTGATGTTTTTACTGCTGCTGCTGAGTCATGGTGCTCTCCTGAAGCACTTGTTGTAAACATGTTTTGTTCTGTGGCTCGGTCCCTGTGTGGTCAGGAGCCATCAGATGCAATTAGCAGAGTGCTAATGGAGCCTGATGAGGCGCCTGCTGGTCTCCTGCTGGTCCCTGCTGACATCATCACTGTGTATCCTCAGAACACAAACCCACTTATTCTCACTGTGGGCGTCCACTCTACTCTACTCGAGTAGACGACACCCAGCTCCCTCTGAGAGCCGCTCTGCTCTGGGCCGACCTGTACCACACGTTTTCTCCACACTTTTGGTCAGTGTTAGTCCTGTGGGGTTTTTGGTTTCTGCAGGAAGCCCCGCCCACCTCTGAGCCTGATGGAGTTAGAGAGGAATCACACTTTGGTGCATTTGTGGTCATCAGCAACAGCACAAACCACAATGAGATGAAACCAAACTTATTCTCAACAGCTCAAAGATCCAGAGAATTCCCTTTGACTCACAGACACACTGTAGCATTAGCATGTGTGCATTAGCATGTGTGCATTAGCATGTGTGCATTAGCATGTGTGCTATAATGTGTTGTTTTTAAACCCATTGAAGTGAATGTGGGTGAAATCTCTTGGGGATCGATAAATAGACTGCACCTCACTACTGAGCCGAGGGGGGTGGATCCTGCTGTGGATCCTGCTGTGGATCCTGCTGTGGATCTGCTCCTGGTGCGGCCTGCTCTGGCTCTGTGTGGACAACACACATTCAGATTCTCTTTATTTACCATTTGTAGCAAAACCCCAGTGGAATACATGTGCAAGAGTCCCCAGTGTGCAGCAGGCAAACTCATACAATGAAACAAGCTAAAAAGGTACAAGAAATAATGGTCACTGGTAAAACCATAAACAAAACCAGTTTCATAAGATGCTATTGTAAAGTACTTTGGGTGACTTTGGTCTGTATAATGCGCTATGTAAATAAACACGACTAACTTCAAACCACAGAGAGCAGCAGATCTGTGGGACCTGACCCAACGTCATCTGTCACGTGTCCTAAAGGGGCAGAGCTCAGGGCGGGACGGGACCAGGGATGTATGATGTGGAGGGTGTTGCTGCTTAAACCTGTCTCCACATGGACTAGAGGCCACCTGTGGTACTGCAGCCTCAGCCCACATGGACTAGAGGCCACCTGTGGTACTGCAGCCTCAGCACACATGGACTAGAGGCCACCTGTGGTACTGCAGCCTCAGCCCACATGGACTAGAGGCCTCCTGTGGTACTGCAGCCTACATCCACATGGACTAGAGGCCACCTGTGGTACTGCAGCCTACACCCACATGGACTAGAGGCCACCTGTGGTACTGCAGCCTAGATCCACATGGACTAGAGGCCACCTGTGGTACTGCAGCCTCAGCCCACATGGACTAGAGGCCACCTGTGGTACTGCAGCCTAAATCCACATGGACTAGAGGCCACCTGTGGTACTGCAGCCTACATCCACATGGACTAGAGGCCACCTGTGCTACTGCAGCCTACATCCACATGGACTAGAGGCCACCTGTGCTACTGCAGCCTACATCCACATGGACTAGAGGCCACCTGTGGTACTGCAGCCTAGATCCACATGGACTAGAGGACACCTGTGGTACTGCAGCCTACATCCACATGGACTAGAGGACACCTGTGCTACTGCAGCCTACATCCACATGGACTAGAGGCCACCTGTGGTACTGCAGCCTAGATCCACATGGACTAGAGGCCACCTGTGGTACTGCAGCCTAGATCCACATGGACTAGAGGCCACCTGTGGTACTGAGCCTACATCCACATGGACTAGAGGCCACCTGTGGTACTGCAGCCTACATCCACATGGACTAGAGGCCCCCTGTGGTACTGCAGCCTCAATCCACATGGACTAGAGGCCACCTGTGGTACTGCAGCCTACATCCACATGGACTAGAGGACACCTGTGGTACTGCAGCCTACATCCACATGGACTAGAGGCCACCTGTGGTACTGCAGCCTAAATCCACATGGACTAGAGGCCACCTGTGGTACTGCAGCCCACATCCACATGGACTAGAGGCCACCTGTGGTACTGCAGCCTAGATCCACATGGACTAGAGGCCACCTGTGGTACTGCAGCCTACATCCACATGGACTAGAGGCCACCTGTGGTACTGCAGCCTAGATCCACATGGACTATAGGCCACCTGTGGTACTGCAGCCTAGATCCACATGGACTAGAGGCCACCTGTGGTACTGCAGCCTAGATCCACATGGACTAGAGGCCACCTGTGGTACTGCAGCCTAGATCCACATGGACTAGAGGCCACCTGTGGTACTGCAGCCTACATCCACATGGACTAGAGGCCACCTGTGGTACTGCAGCCTACATCCACATGGACTAGAGGCCACCTGTGGTACTGCAACCTATATCCACATGGACTAGAGGCCACCTGTGGTCCTGCAGCCTACATCCACATGGACTAGAGGCCACCTGTGGTACTGCAGCCTACATCCACATGGACTAGAGGCCACCTCTGGTACTGCAGCCTAGATCCACATGGACTAGAGGCCACCTGTGGTACTGCAGCCTACATCCACATGGACTAGAGGCCACCTGTGGTACTGCCGTCTACACCCACATGGATTAGAGGCCACCTGTGGTACTGCAGCCTACATCCACATGGACTAGAGGCCACCTGTGGTACTTCAGCCTCAGCCCACATGGACTAGAGGCCACCTGTGGTACTGCAGCCTCAGCCCACATGGACTAGAGGCCACCTGTGGTACTGCAGCCGAGACCCACATGGACTAGAGGCCACCTGTGGTACTGCAGCCGAGACCCACATGGACTAGAGGCCACCTGTGGTACTGCACAGAGCTGGCCAGAGTGTGTCAGTTCTGCTAATGTTTTGGACGTCCAGAGTCTAAAACGTATTGGAAACGCAACCAGTAGAGCAGAGCAGCCACAGAGCTTACCTCCATTTTCTTCAGAAGGGCCCTTGGTGTCAGGTTCTGGATGTCTCTCCTCCGGGTCCTCCGGGTCCGCCGGGTCCTCCGAGTCTTCCGAGTCTTCCGAGTCCTCCGAGTCCTCCGAGTACTCCGAGTCTTCCGAGTCCTCTGAGTCCTCCGGGTTCTCCATCATCTGCTGGGGACTAGCCTCCATACTGGGGGTGGTCTGCTGGGGACTAGCCTCCACACTGGGGGTGGTCTGCTGGGGACTGGCCTCCACACTGGGGGGGGTCTGCTGGGGACTAGCCTCCACACTGGGGGGGGTCTGCTGGGGACTGGCCACCACACTGGGGGGGGTCTGCTGGGGACTAGCCTCCACACTGGGGGGGGTCTGCTGGGGACTGGCCTCCACACTGGGGGGGGTCTGCTGGGGACTAGCCTCCACACTGGGGGGGGTCTGCTGGGGACTGGCCTCCACACTGGGGGGGGTCTGCTGGGGACTGGCCTCCACACTGGGGGTGGTCTGCTGGGGACTAGCCTCCACACTGGGAGTGGTCTGCTGGGGACTGGCCTGCACACTGGGGGGCTTCAGGGGGCTCTCTCCCCCCGTGCCGCTGCTGCGGGGGGACAGCAGCTCCATCTCCTCGCCCCAGTCGGACACAGGCCTGTGGTCCAGAGGGCAGAAGGGGCTGGGGGGCTTGGCAGCCTCAGGGGTCCTGGGGGTGCGCTGCTCTTTGGGGGACAGGTGGCAGATCTCCAGCTCTTCTCCGTCGCTGGCGTCCTCCCATTGGTCCTCATCGTCCTCGTTGGGCTCGTCCATCTGAGGGGCGGCGGTCTGGGACAAAGAGAGACGTTTGAGTACGAGTTTACACCAAGGAGTCCTTAGCCCCGCCCCCTCTTTAGCCCCGCCCCTCACTTCACACCTGAGTACCCGAGACACGCGTCTGAAGGTCCTGTGTCCTGGTGTGTGTGTGTGTCCTGGTGTGTGTGTGTGTGTGTGTGTCCTGGTGTTTGTGTGTGTGTGTCCTGGTGTGTGTGTGTTTGTGTGTGTGTGTCCTGGTGTGTGTGTGTGTGTGTGTGTGTGTGTGTCCCTGGTGTGTGTGTGTTTGTGTGTGTGTGTCCTGGTGTGTGTGTGTTTGTGTGTGTGTGTCCTGGTGTGTGTGTGTGTGTGTGTGTGTCCTGGTGTGTGTCCTGGTGTGTGTGTGTGTGTGTGTGTGTCCTGGTGTGTGTGTGTGTGTGTGTGTGTGTGTGGTGTGTGTGTGTGTTGTGTGTGTGTGTCCTGGTGTGTGTGTGTTTGTGTGTGTGTGTCCTGGTGTGTGTGTGTGTGTGTGTGTGTGTCCTGGTGTGTGTCCTGGTGTGTGTGTGTGTGTGTGTGTGTCCTGGTGTGTGTCCTGGCGCCCCCGGGTGGACACCCTTGTGCTGGAACATGGTGTTGGTGATGGACAAACAACTGAACACCGCTCGGTTCAGATCAGGGCCGTTCTTCCCCTTCACCCCTCTCCAGGTGTCACTGGCGTCCCCCACATGGGCTCCAAGGACTCCAAGAAGGCTGGGTACTCTAGGCATTACTCTCTCTAGCCGGTATCTCTCAACCTCCCCCACAAGCTCAGGCTCCTCCCCCACAAGCTAAGGCTTCTCCCCCACGAGCTCAGGCTCCTCCCCCACGAGCTCAGGCTCCTCCCCCACAAGCTAAGGCTTCTCCCCCACGAGCTCAGGCTCCTCCCCCACGAGCTCAGGCTCCTCCCCCACGAGCTCAGGCTCCTCCCCCAGTGAGGTGACGTTCCACGTCCCGACAGCCAGATGTTGTGTGTGACTGGGTCGTCGAGGTCTCCGCCTTCGACTGCTGCCCAGTCCCCTCTGCATCCCATCCCCATGGATCCCTCTGTGGAGGGCGGGGTCCTAAAGGGGACAGTGTGACGAGTGTGGTCGTACCTTTGGCTCCTGGGGCGGCTTGGCCTTTTCCTCTGCCTCCTCCCGTTTTGGTTTGTCCTCCTTCCCTCTCCTCTCGTCCTTCCCTCTCCTCTCGTCCTTCTCTCTCCTGTTATCCTTGTCCCTCTGGTCCTTCATCATCCTGTCCTCCTTCTCTCTCCTGCCGTCCTCCTTCTCTCTCCTGCCGTCCTCCTTCTCTCTCTGGTCCTCCTCCTTCTCAGACTCCCAGCGGTTGTCGTGCATGCTACAATAGTAAACATATTTTCAAAGAGACAGTTTGGAGACATTCTTAAAAACACAGCTGTGAGATTGTATTCGGTGCGATAACGGGGCTGACACTGAACCAGAGACTTGTTGTAATCAACAATATCAAATGAAAATCACAGAAAACATTTGAATGTAATTTATGAATCATAACCTGAAACACACAACAGCAGAAGAAGCCCCGTTTCCACCAGCCCTACCCTGCTCTATTCAGGGTTTCCTCTTTAGTCCCTCTTGGTCCTGGTTCTGTCCAGGCCGAGCTGGTACTAAAGGGTTCTATCTGACAGTGATGAGAGTAGAGCAGGGTAGGGTAATGTAGGTTAGGGTATTGCAGAGCAGAGCAGAGTAGTTTCAGAATTAGAGGACCTAGAGTACCTAGAGAGTACCTAGAGTACCTAGAGAGTACCTAGAGTACCCAGAGAGGACCTAGAGTACCTAGAGTACCTCTACACATGTCTGATGTCACTGATCTAACTGCATTAAACCTGTGTGAACGTTCAGGTGGCAAGAGCTCTGGTGTGTGTGGTGCACACTGGGGTAATCTTGCACAGTTTTTCCAATGTGGTTTTACTGCAAATGGCAAATAAATGAATCTGAATCTGAAGAATGTGACATCACTACTGCAGGCGGGCGTGGTCACCTGTAGCTGGGTCTGGAGCCTCTTTGTCGGCCCCGCCCTCTCTCCCCTCTCTCCCCTCTCTCTCCTCTCTCTCCTCTCTCTCCTCTCTCTCCTCGCTCTGTGTGGCTCCTGCCCTGGGACAGGAAGTCCCCAAAGCTCGGGGCCTTGGGGGGCCGCTTACTCTCATCTGTGGACACAGAGGGAAAAGTTACTGATTATTTACAGATCAATTAAAAAGACGGGACGTCACTAATCAGACGAACAAGCAGGAGTCAGTGCTGGACTCAAGATGCAAAACACATTCAAAAGGAACTAGAACAATGGGCAGGATTAGATTTCTGACATTAATAATAATCAAAAACAGGAGTCTGATATTCTAAACATTGGCACATGCCACAGTGTCGTAAAGTTTATCAATCCACCTTAGAACAGATGGAGGCGCTGTGCTTGGCCCCACACGCAGCTGAAACACTAACCCACCAAAGCACAATGTTTCAGGTCAGGACTTTGGGGCCGACTGTGATTGAGAAACAAAAAAGTGTTTGTCATCACACAGCTGCACGTTCACCGAGCTAATCTGTGTTTCCATGTCAGAATCAGAGTCTGGAGGAGACAGAGCAGATCTTCAGCCTGACGAGCTGTGGCTGAGGACGAAGTAGAACATACTCTACACGTCTGAACAGATCCACAGACCTGAGACCCTCATGGGGCTGGGTCTGTGTCCTCTGTGACCTGTGACCTCCATCTAAAGCCCCATCTCTCTGGGGTCAGGCTTTTGCACAACGGCTTAACGAAAGGGCTCTTTAGAAGCACTGCTATCAGCGAACGTGCCTTTTCCTGTAACCTTGAATGACTGCTGAACGTCTCAAACCAGCAACATCAGCAGGAGCACAGGGACTGGCCTCCTGCTGGGGCTCTGAGGAGCACAGGGACTGGCCTCCTGCTGGGGCTCTGAGGAGCACAGGGACTGGCCTCCTGCTGGGGCTCTGAGGAGCACAGGGACTGGCCTCCTGCTGGGACTCTGAGGAGCACAGGGACTGGCCTCCTGCTGGGGCTCTGAGGAGCACAGGGACTGGCCTCCTGCTGGGACTCTGAGGAGCACAGGGACTGGCCTCCTGCTGGGACTCTGAGGAGCACAGGGACTGGCCTCCTGCTGGGACTCTGAGGAGCACAGGGACTGGACTCCTGCTGGGACTCTGAGGAGCACAGGGACTGGCCTCCTGCTGGGACTCTGAGGAGCACAGGGACTGGCCTCCTGCTGGGGCTCTGAGGAGCACAGGGACTGGACTCCTGCTGGGACTCTGAGGAGCACAGGGACTGGCCTCCTGCTGGGACTCTGAGGAGCACAGGGACTGGCCTCCTGCTGGGGCTCTGAGGAGCACAGGGACCGGCCTCCTGCTGGGACTCTGAGGAGCACAGGGACTGGCCTCCTGCTGGGACTCTGAGGAGCACAGGGACTGGCCTCCTGCTGGGACTCTGAGGAGCACAGGGACTGGCCTCCTGCTGGGACTCTGAGGAGCACAGGGACTGGCCTCCTGCTGGGACTCTGAGGAGCACAGGGACTGGACTCCTGCTGGTCCCACAGTCAGGACTAAACATGAGGAGGCAGTGTTTCAGATTGTTGTAGTTACAATCTGGAGCAGTCTTCCTGAAAGTGTGAGACAGACTTCTGCTCTGACAATGTTCAAATCCAAGTTAGAAATAGTTCTGTTTCTGCAACAACTGAAGTATTTTATAAGATACACTTTATTGATCTTTCACTGGAGAAATGTACAGGAATATATTTAAAATGTTTCTTTACTCTTTAATGTGTGATTGTTTTGTTAAGAACTCACTGTTTCCTTGTGTATAAAGTGTGCTACACAAATAAACTTTCCGTGCCTTTAATACAAGACACACTTTCCCCCGCTGTGTGTGTGTGTGTGCGTTGTGTGTTGTGTGTGTTGTCTGTTGTGTGTGCCTCACCTCTGCGGGGGCTGGGCTCGGTCACGGCGGGCTCTCCACTCACACCCGTCTCCTCTGTGAACCTGCAGCACACACACAGTCACACACAGTCACACACAGTCACACACAGTCACACACTCAGCTGGTCTCTGCTGCTGTCAGACTGGACAACGAACAATGAGGACTAATGAACTCTGCCGATTGTGCATGTCGTACCATCCGGGCCCAGTCCAGTACCATCCAGTCCCAGTCAGTCCCAGTCCAGTACCATCCGGTCCCAGTACAGTACCATCTGGTCCCAGTACAGTACCATCCAGTCCCAGTCCAGTACCATCCGGTCCCAGTCCAGTACCATCCAGTCCCATCCGGTCCCGTCAGACTTGGGCCAAGGTCAGAGCATTTTTATTGCTGCATTTCCAGTGTTTGATTCTCTGATCTGTGTTGATGAATCGACAACTCTGTAAAGTCCTCTGAGAAACTACTGTTGTGTGTGAGGAGAGAGACTGTGTGAGGAGAGAGACTGTGTGAGGAGAGAGACCGTGTGAGGAGAGAGACTGTGTGAGGAGAGAGACTGTGTGAGGAGAGAGACCGTGTGAGGAGAGAGACTGTGTGAGGAGAGAGACTGTGTGAGGAGAGAGACTGTGTGAGGAGAGAGACTGTGTGAGGAGAGAGACTGTGTGAGGAGAGAGACCGTAAGAGGAGAGAGACTGTGTGAGGAGAGAGACTGTGTGAGGAGAGAGACTGTGTGAGGAGAGAGACTGTGTGAGGAGAGAGACTGTGTGAGGAGAGAGACCGTAAGTGAGAGAGACTGAGAGACTGTGTGAGGAGAGAGACTGTGTGAGGAGAGAGACTGTGTGAGGAGAGAGACCGTAAGAGAGAGAGACTGTGTGAGGAGAGAGACTGTGTGAGGAGAGAGACTGTGTGAGGAGAGAGACTGTGTGAGGAGAGAGACTGTGTGAGGAGAGAGACCGTAAGAGGAGAGAGACTGTGTGAGGAGAAAGACTGTGTGAGGAGAGAGACCGTGTGAGGAGAGAGACCGGGTGAGGAGAGAGACCGGGTGAGGAGAGAGACCGGGTGAGGAGAGAGACCGTGTGAGGAGAGAGACCGTGTGAGGAGAGAGACCGTGTGAGGAGAGAGACCGGGTGAGGAGAGAGACTGTGTGAGGAGAGAGACCGTGTGAGGAGAGAGACTGTGTGAGGAGAGAGACTGTGTGAGGAGAGAGACTGTGTGAGGAGAGAGACTGTGTGAGGAGAGAGACTGTGTGAGGAGAGAGACTGTGTGAGGAGAGAGACCGTAAGAGGAGAGAGACTGTGTGAGGAGAGAGACTGTGTGAGGAGAGAGACTGTGTGAGGAGAGAGACTGTGTGAGGAGAGAGACTGTGTGAGGAGAGAGACTGTGTGAGGAGAGAGACCGTAAGAGGAGAGAGACTGTGTGAGGAGAAAGACTGTGTGAGGAGAGAGACCGTGTGAGGAGAGAGACCGGGTGAGGAGAGAGACCGGGTGAGGAGAGAGACTGAGGAGAGAGACCGGGTGAGGAGAGAGACCGTGTGAGGAGAGAGACCGTGTGAGGAGAGAGACCGGGTGAGGAGAGAGACCGTGTGAGGAGAGAGACCGGGTGAGGAGAGAGACCGGGTGAGGAGAGAGACCGGGTGAGGAGAGAGACCGGGTGAGGAGAGAGACCGTGTGAGGAGAGAGAATGAGGAGAGAGACTGTGAGAGGAGAGAGACCGTGTGAGGAGAAAGACTGTGTGAGGAGAGAGAATGAGGAGAGAGACTGTGAGAGGAGAGAGACCGTGTGAGGAGAAAGACTGTGTGAGGAGAGAGAATGAGGAGAGAGACTGTGAGAGGAGAGAGACCGTGTGAGGAGAGAGACTGTGTGAGGAGAGAGAATGAGGAGAGAGACTGTGAGAGGAGAGAGACCGTGTGAGGAGAGAGACCGTGTGAGGAGAGAGACCGGGTGAGGAGAGAGACTGAGGAGAGAGACCGGGTGAGGAGAGAGACCGTGTGAGGAGAGAGACCGTGTGAGGAGAAAGACTGTGTGAGGAGAGAGAATGAGGAGAGAGACTGGGTGAGGAGAGAGACCGGGTGAGGAGAGAGACTGTATGAGGAGAGAGACCGGGTGAGGAGAGAGACCGTGTGAGGAGAGAGACCGTGTGAGGAGAGAGACTGTATGAGGAGAGAGACCGTGTGAGGAGAGAGACCGGGTGAGGAGAGAGACCGTGTGAGGAGAGAGACCGTGAGAGGAGAGAGACTGTGTGAGGAGAGAGACTGTGAGAGGAGAGAGACTGTGTGAGGAGAGAGACCGTGAGAGGAGAGAGACTGTGTGAGGAGAGAGACCGTGAGAGGAGAGAGACCGTGAGAGGAGAGAGACTGTGTGAGGAGAGAGATTGTGTGAGGAGAGAGACTGTGTGAGGAGAAAGACTGTGAGGAGAGAGAATGAGGAGAGAGACTGTGAGAGGAGAGAGACCGTGTGAGGAGAGAGACCGTGTGAGGAGAGAGACCGGGTGAGGAGAGAGACCGGGTGAGGAGAGAGACTGAGGAGAGAGAGCGGGTGAGGAGAGAGACCGGGTGAGGAGAGAGACCGTGTGAGGAGAGAGACTGTGTGAGGAGAGAGACTGTGTGAGGAGAAAGAGTGTGTGAGGAGAGAGAATGAGGAGAGAGACTGTGAGAGGAGAGAGACCGTGTGAGGAGAGAGACCGTGTGAGGAGAGAGACCGGGTGAGGAGAGAGACCGGGTGAGGAGAGAGACTGAGGAGAGAGACCGGGTGAGGAGAGAGACCGTGTGAGGAGAGAGACCGGGTGAGGAGAGAGACCGTGTGAGGAGAGAGACCGTGAGAGGAGAGAGACCGTGTGAGGAGAGAGACCGTGTGAGGAGAGAGACCGGGTGAGGAGAGAGACTGTGTGAGGAGAGAGACCGTGTGAGGAGAGAGACCGGGTGAGGAGAGAGACCGTGTGAGGAGAGAGACCGTGAGAGGAGAGAGACCGTGTGAGGAGAGAGACCGTGTGAGGAGAGAGACTGTGTGAGGAGAGAGACCGTGAGAGGAGAGAGACTGTGTGAGGAGAGAGATTGTGTGAGGAGAGAGACTGTGTGAGGAGAAAGACTGTGTGAGGAGAGAGAATGAGGAGAGAGACTGTGAGAGGAGAGAGACCGTGTGAGGAGAGAGACCGTGTGAGGAGAGAGACCGGGTGAGGAGAGAGACCGGGTGAGGAGAGAGACCGGGTGAGGAGAGAGACCGGGTGAGGAGAGAGACTGAGGAGAGAGACCGGGTGAGGAGAGAGACCGGGTGAGGAGAGAGACCGTGTGAGGAGAGAGACTGTGTGAGGAGAGAGACTGTGTGAGGAGAAAGACTGTGTGAGGAGAAAGAGTGTGTGAGGAGAGAGAATGAGGAGAGAGACCGTGTGAGGAGAGAGACTGTGTGAGGAGAGAGACCGTGTGAGGAGAGAGACCGGGTGAGGAGAGAGACCGGGTGAGGAGAGAGACCGGGTGAGGAGAGAGACCGGGTGAGGAGAGAGACTGAGGAGAGAGACCGGGTGAGGAGAGAGACCGTGTGAGGAGAGAGACCGGGTGAGGAGAGAGACCGTGTGAGGAGAGAGACCGTGAGAGGAGAGAGACCGTGTGAGGAGAGAGACCGTGTGAGGAGAGAGACCGGGTGAGGAGAGAGACCGGGTGAGGAGAGAGACCGGGTGAGGAGAGAGACCGTGTGAGGAGAGAGACCGGGTGAGGAGAGAGACCGTATGAGGAGAGAGACCGGGTGAGGAGAAAGACCGGGTGAGGAGAGAGACCGTGTGAGGAGAGAGACCGTGAGAGGAGAGAGACCGGTGAGGAGAGAGACCGGGTGAGGAGAGAGACCGGGTGAGGAGAGAGACCGGGTGAGGAGAGAGACCGGGTGAGGAGAGAGACCGTGTGAGGAGAGAGACCGTGTGAGGAGAGAGACCGTGTGAGGAGAGAGACCGGGTGAGGAGAGAGACCGGGTGAGGAGAGAGACCGGGTGAGGAGAGAGGACCGGGTGAGGAGAGAGACTGAGGAGAGAGACCGTGTGAGGAGAGAAACTGTGTGAGGAGAGAGACCGGGTGAGGAGAGAGACCGGGTGAGGAGAGAGACCGGGTGAGGAGAGAGACCGGGTGAGGAGAGAGACTGGGTGAGGAGAGAGACCGGGTGAGGAGAGAGACTGAGGAGAGAGACCGTGTGAGGAGAGAAACTGTGTGAGGAGAGAGACTGGGTGAGGAGAGAGACCGGGTGAGGAGAGAGACCGGGTGAGGAGAGAGACCGGGTGAGGAGAGAGACCGGGTGAGGAGAGAGACCGGGTGAGGAGAGAGACTGAGGAGAGAGACCGGGTGAGGAGAGAGACCGGGTGAGGAGAGAGACCGTGTGAGGAGAGAGACCGGGTGAGGAGAGAGACCGGGTGAGGAGAGAGACTGAGGAGAGAGACCGGGTGAGGAGAGAGACCGGGTGAGGAGAGAGACCGGGTGAGGAGAGAGACCGGGTGAGGAGAGAGACCGGGTGAGGAGAGAGACTGAGGAGAGAGACCGGGTGAGGAGAGAGACCGGGTGAGGAGAGAGACCGTGTGAGGAGAGAGACTGTGTGAGGAGAGAGACTGTGTGAGGAGAAAGAGTGTGTGAGGAGAGAGAATGAGGAGAGAGACTGTGAGAGGAGAGAGACCGTGTGAGGAGAGAGACCGGGTGAGGAGAGAGACCGGGTGAGGAGAGAGACTGAGGAGAGAGACCGGGTGAGGAGAGAGACCGTGTGAGGAGAGAGACCGGGTGAGGAGAGAGACCGTGTGAGGAGAGAGACCGTGAGAGGAGAGAGACCGTGTGAGGAGAGAGACCGTGTGAGGAGAGAGACCGGGTGAGGAGAGAGACCGGGTGAGGAGAGAGACCGGGTGAGGAGAGAGACCGTGTGAGGAGAGAGACCGTGTGAGGAGAGAGACCGTATGAGGAGAGAGACCGTGTGAGGAGAGAGACCGTGTGAGGAGAGAGACCGGGTGAGGAGAGAGACCGGGTGAGGAGAGAGACTGAGGAGAGAGACCGGGTGAGGAGAGAGACCGTGTGAGGAGAGAGACCGGGTGAGGAGAGAGACCGTGTGAGGAGAGAGACCGTGAGAGGAGAGAGACCGTGTGAGGAGAGAGACCGGGTGGAGGAGAGAGACTGTGTGAGGAGAGAGACTGTGTGAGGAGAGAGACCGTGAGAGGAGAGAGACTGTGTGAGGAGAGAGATTGTGTGAGGAGAGAGACTGTGTGAGGAGAGAGACTGTGTGAGGAGAGAGACTGTGTGAGGAGAGAGAATGTGTGAGGAGAGAGACTGTGTGAGGAGAGAGAATGTGTGAGGAGAGAGACTGTGTGAGGAGAGAGACTGTGTGAGGAGAGAGACTGTGTGAGGAGAGAGACCGTGAGAGGAGAGAGACTGTGTGAGGAGAGAGATTGTGTGAGGAGAGAGACTGTGTGAGGAGAGAGACCGGGTGAGGAGAGAGACCGTGTGAGGAGAGAGACTGTGTGAGGAGAGAGACCGTGAGAGGAGAGAGACTGTGTGAGGAGAGAGATTGTGTGAGGAGAGAGACTGTGTGAGGAGAGAGACCGTGAGAGGAGAGAGACTGTGTGAGGAGAGAGATTGTGTGAGGAGAGAGACTGTGTGAGGAGAGAGACTGTGTGAGGAGAGAGAATGTGAGAGGAGAGAGACCGTGTGAGGAGAGAGACCGTGTGAGGAGAGAGACCGGGTGAGGAGAGAGACCGGGTGAGGAGAGAGACCGGGTGAGGAGAGAGACCGGGTGAGGAGAGAGACTGAGGAGAGAGACCGGGTGAGGAGAGAGACCGGGTGAGGAGAGAGACCGTGTGAGGAGAGAGACTGTGTGAGGAGAGAGACTGTGTGAGGAGAAAGACTGTGTGAGGAGAAAGAGTGTGTGAGGAGAGAGAATGAGGAGAGAGACCGTGTGAGGAGAGAGACTGTGTGAGGAGAGAGACCGTGTGAGGAGAGAGACCGGGTGAGGAGAGAGACCGGGTGAGGAGAGAGACCGGGTGAGGAGAGAGACTGAGGAGAGAGACCGGGTGAGGAGAGAGACCGTGTGAGGAGAGAGACCGGGTGAGGAGAGAGACCGTGTGAGGAGAGAGACCGTGTGAGGAGAGAGACCGTGTGAGGAGAGAGACCGGGTGAGGAGAGAGACCGGGTGAGGAGAGAGACCGGGTGAGGAGAGAGACCGTGTGAGGAGAGAGACCGGTCGGGTGAGGAGAGAGACCGTATGAGGAGAGAGACCGGGTGAGGAGAAAGACCGGGTGAGGAGAGAGACCGTGTGAGGAGAGAGACCGTGAGAGGAGAGAGACCGGGTGAGGAGAGAGACCGGGTGAGGAGAGAGACCGGGTGAGGAGAGAGACCGGGTGAGGAGAGAGACCGTGTGAGGAGAGAGACCGTGTGAGGAGAGAGACCGTGTGAGGAGAGAGACCGTGAGAGGAGAGAGACCGGGTGAGGAGAGAGACCGGGTGAGGAGAGAGACCGGGTGAGGAGAGAGACCGGGTGAGGAGAGAGACCGGGTGAGGAGAGAGACTGAGGAGAGAGACCGTGTGAGGAGAGAAACTGTGTGAGGAGAGAGACCGGGTGAGGAGAGAGACCGGGTGAGGAGAGAGACCGGGTGAGGAGAGAGACCGGGTGAGGAGAGAGACCGGGTGAGGAGAGAGACTGGGTGAGGAGAGAGACCGGGTGAGGAGAGAGACTGAGGAGAGAGACCGTGTGAGGAGAGAAACTGTGTGAGGAGAGAGACTGGGTGAGGAGAGAGACCGGGTGAGGAGAGAGACCGGGTGAGGAGAGAGACCGGGTGAGGAGAGAGACCGGGTGAGGAGAGAGACCGGGTGAGGAGAGAGACTGAGGAGAGAGACCGGGTGAGGAGAGAGACCGGGTGAGGAGAGAGACCGTGTGAGGAGAGAGACTGTGTGAGGAGAGAGACTGTGTGAGGAGAAAGAGTGTGTGAGGAGAGAGAATGAGGAGAGAGACTGTGAGAGGAGAGAGACCGTGTGAGGAGAGAGACCGGGTGAGGAGAGAGACCGGGTGAGGAGAGAGACTGAGGAGAGAGACCGGGTGAGGAGAGAGACCGTGTGAGGAGAGAGACCGGGTGAGGAGAGAGACCGTGTGAGGAGAGAGACCGTGAGAGGAGAGAGACCGTGTGAGGAGAGAGACGACCGTGTGAGGAGAGAGACCGGTGAGGAGAGAGACGAGACGGGTGAGGAGAGAGAGAGACCGGGTGAGGAGAGAGACCGGGTGAGGAGAGAGACCGTGTGAGGAGAGAGACCGTGTGAGGAGAGAGACCGTATGAGGAGAGAGACCGTGTGAGGAGAAAGACCGTGTGAGGAGAGAGACCGTGTGAGGAGAGAGACCGTGAGAGGAGAGAGACCGGGTGAGGAGAGAGACCGGGTGAGGAGGAGAGAGACCGGGTGAGGAGAGAGACCGGGTGAGGAGAGAGACCGGGTGAGGAGAGAGACTGGGTGAGGAGAGAGACCGGGTGAGGAGAGAGACTGAGGAGAGAGACCCGTGTGAGGAGAGAAACTGTGTGAGGAGAGAGACCGGGTGAGGAGAGAGACCGGGTGAGGAGAGAGACCGGGTGAGGAGAGAGACCGGGTGAGGAGAGAGACTGGGTGAGGAGAGAGACCGGGTGAGGAGAGAGACTGAGGAGAGAGACCGTGAGAGGAGAGAAACTGTGTGAGGAGAGAGACTGGGTGAGGAGAGAGACCGGGTGAGGAGAGAGACCGGGTGAGGAGAGAGACTGAGGAGAGAGACCGTGTGAGGAGAGAAACTGTGTGAGGAGAGAGACTGGGTGAGGAGAGAGACCGGGTGAGGAGAGAGACCGGGTGAGGAGAGAGACTGAGGAGAGAGACCGTGTGAGGAGAGAGACCGGGTGAGGAGAGAGACTGGGTGAGGAGAGAGACCGGGTGAGGAGAGAGACTGAGGAGAGAGACCGTGTGAGGAGAGAGACCGGGTGAGGAGAGAGACCGGGTGAGGAGAGAGACTGAGGAGAGAGACCGTGTGAGGAGAGAGACCGGGTGAGGAGAGAGACTGAGGAGAGAGACCGTGTGAGGAGAGAAACTGTGTGAGGAGAGAGACTCAGGAGAAAGACCGTGTGAGGAGAGAAACTGTGTGAGGAGAGAGACCCACATGCCGTCAGACTTCTGGGCGTCCCACTCCCGCCTCCACGTCCCGGTGGCGTTGCGGTGGCGAGCCAGACGCTCCTCGTCGATCTGCTCGCGCTCCTTCTTCCAGCGCAGGTATTCTGCTCTCTCACGACCGGTCATCGACACCGTCATGTCTGAGGAACCTTTGGGACCCGGACGCCGGCTCTGAGAGAGAGACCGAGAGAGAGACAGAGAGAGAGACAGACAGAGACAGAGACAGACAGTGAGAGAGAGAGAGACAGAGACAGACAGACAGTGAGAGAGAGAGAGACAGAGAGAGAGAGACACACAGAAACACAAAGAGACAAACACATTTATGGTTGATATTTACGAAACCATAGAATAGTCTAATGTCTAATGGGTAATGTGTAATGTGTAATCTGTAATCTAATCTGTAATGTGTAATCTGTAATGTGTAATCTGTAATGAGTAATATAATCTGTAATGGGTAATGTGTAATGTGTAATCTGTAATGTGTAATCTGTAATGTGTAATCTGTAATGTGTAATCTGTAATGTGTAATCTAACCTGTAATGTGTAATGTGTAATCTAATCTGTAATGGGTAATCTGTAATGTGTAATGTGTAATCTGTAATGTGTAATGTGTAATCTGTAATGTGTAATCTAATCTGTAATGGGTAATCTGTAATGTGTAATCTGTAATGTGTAATCTGTAATGTGTAGTGGGTAATCTGTAATGTGTAATCTGTAATGTGTAATCTGTAATGTGTAGTGGGTAATCTGTAATGTGTAATCTGTAATGTGTAATCTGTAATGTGTAATCTGTAATGTGTAATGTGTAATGTGTAATCTGTAATGTGTAATCTAATCTGTAATGTGTAATCTGTAATGTGTAATGTGTAATCTGTAATGTGTAATCTGTAATGTGTAATGTGTAATCTGTAATGTGTAATCTAATCTGTAATGTGTAATCTGTAATGTGTAATCTGTAATCTGTAATGTGTAATCTGTAATGTGTAATCTGTAATCTGTAATGTGTAATCTGTAATGTGTAATCTGTAATGTGTAATCTGTAATCTGTAATGTGTAATGTGTAATCTGTAATGTCCAGACACTGTGGCTTCATTGGACGTTTAAATGATGATGCAGTCATTAAAAGGATGTCCAGACTTTAGTTCAGACTGAAATGTTATGAATGGATTAAGGTAGAGTCTGATCCAGAGCCTGGATTGGGTCAGAACCGAGTCTGTCGTTAACCAGCAGCAGAGAAACACCTGTGGAGGAATATGGACTTCACAAGCAGAGTGGGTTCAGACAAAACATCCTCTGATCGCTGACTTTAATGTTTTGATGCTCTTCTGTGAATCTGCTGTAAAACTGTTGATCTCTTTTGGGACTTTTGGGGACTGTGTATTTTAATTTATTTTGTGACTCAGTGTGTGTGTGTGTGTGTGTGTGTGTGTGTATATAGAGTCTGTGTGTGTGTATAGAGTCTGTGTGTGTATAGAGTCTGTGTGTGTGTGTGTGTGTGTATATAGAGTCTGTGTGTGTGTGTATACAGAGTCTGTGTGTGTGTGTGTATAGAGTCTGTGTGTGTATAGAGTCTGTGTGTGTATAGAGTCTGTGTGTGTGTGTATAGATTCTGTGTGTGTGTGTGTATAAAGTCTGTGTGTGTGTATAAAGTCTGTGTGTGTGTGTATAGAGTCTGTGTGTGTGTGTGTGTGTATAGAGTCTGCGTGTGTATGTGTGTGTGTGTGTGTGTGTGTGTGTATAGAGTCTGCGTGTGTGTATAGAGTCTGTGTGTGTGTGTGTATGTGTATAGAGTCTGTGCGTGTGTGTGTGTGTATAGAGTCTGTGCGTGTGTGTGTGTGTATAGAGTCTGTGTGTGTGTGTATAGAGTCTGCGTGTGTATGCTTGTGTGTGTATATGGGTGTGTATCTGAACACTCACGGTCCACTCTCGCTCCTGCTCGCCTCCCGTCTTCACGTTGTCGAAGTCCAGCCCGCCCCAGTTGCGAACGTGGCGGCGGCTTCCTTCTTTACGGTCGGTGTCGGGGGCGGGGCCAGAGCGCCGCGGGTCGTCCAGGAAGTGTCTGCTGGGTTTGTCTGTGTCCGGCTGCTGAGGGAACACACACACACACACACAGGTCAGAGGGACACACACACAGGTTAGAGGGACACACACACACACACAGGTCAGAGGGACACACACACACACATACACACAGGTTAGAGGGACACACACACAGGTTAGAGGGACACACACACACACACAGGTCAGAGGGACACACACACACACACACACAGTCAGAGGGACACACACACAAGTAGAGGGACACACACACACACACACAGGTCAGAGGGACACACACACACACACACACACAGGTTAGAGGGACACACACACAGGTTAGAGGGACACACACACACACACACACACACACACAGGTCAGAGGGACACACACACACATAGGTCAGAGGGACACACACACACACATAGACACAGGTCAGAGGGACACACACACACACACAGTACACACAGGTCAGAGGGACACACACACACATACAGTACACACAGAGACACACACACACAGGTCAGAGGGACACACACACACACATACACACAGGTTAGAGGGACACACACACAGGTTAGAGGGACACACACACACACACACAGGTCAGAGGGACACACACACAGGTCAGAGGGACACACACACACACACACACAGGTCAGAGGGACACACACACAAGTTAGAGGGACACACACACACACACACACAGGTCAGAGGGACACACACACACACATACACACAGGTTAGAGGGACACACACACACACACACACAGGTCAGAGGGACACACACACACACATAGGTCAGAGGGACACACACACACACATAGACACAGGTCAGAGGGACACACACACACACACAGTACACACAGGTCAGAGGGACACACACACACATACAGTACACACAGAGACACACACACACAGGTCAGAGGGACAGACACACACACACACACACACAGACACACACACACAGACACACACAGACACACAGACACACACACAGACACACACACAGACACACACACACACACACAGACACACACAGCTGAAGTACCAACCCGCTGTCCTCGCTCGTACTCTGCGATCTTCTCCATCTCTTGGTTCATCATCTCAATGTTCTGTCTCCGCTTCTCCTCCCACTCCTGAACACACACACACACACGTTACACACTCCTGAACACACACACACACACACGTTACACACTCCTGAACACACACACACACATGTTACACACTCCTGAACACACACACACACGTTACACACTCCTGAACACACACACACACACACGTTACACACTCCTGAACACACACACACACACGTTACACACTCCTGAACACACACACACACACACACACACACACACACACTACACACTCCTGATGGACTGATTAGACTGGCCACAATAAAACTCTGAAATGTGCACTTCTGTCTCAGCAAAGACAGCAGAATGCCAGCCCAGGACCCCCACATCCAGCCCAGGACCCCCACATCCAGCCCAGGACCCCCACATCCAGCCCAGGACCTCCACATCCAGCCCAGGACCCCCACATCCAGCCCAGGACCCCCACATCCAGCCCAGGACCCCCACATCCAGCCCAGGACCTCCACATCCAGCCCAGGACCCCCACATCCAGCCCAGGACCCCCACATCCAGCCCAGGACCTCCACATCCAGCCCAGGACCCCCACATCCAGCCCAGGACCCCCACATCCAGCCCAGGACCCCCACATCCAGCCCAGGACCCCCACATCCAGCCCAGGACCTCCACATCCAGCCCAGGACCCCCACATCCAGCCCAGGACCCCCACATCCAGCCCAGGACCCCCACATCCAGCCCAGGACCTCCACATCCAGCCCAGGACCTCCACATCCAGCCCAGGACCCCCACATCCAGCCCAGGACCTCCACATCCAGCCCAGGACCCCCACATCCAGCCAGGACCCCACATCCAGCCCAGGACCCCACATCCAGCCCAGGACCCCCACATCCAGCCCAGGACCCCCACATCCAGCCCAGGACCCCCACATCCAGCCCAGGACCTCCACATCCAGCCCAGGACCCCCACATCCAGCCCAGGACCCCCACATCCAGCCCAGGACCCCCACATCCAGCCCAGGACCCCCACATCCAGCCCAGGACCCCCACATCCAGCCCAGGACCCCCACATCCAGCCCAGGACCCCCACATCCAGCCCAGGACCCCCACATCCAGCCCAGGACCCCCACATCCAGCCCAGGACCCCCACATCCAGCCCAGGACCCCACATCCAGCCCAGGACCCCCACATCCAGCCCAGGACCCCCACATCCAGCCCAGGACCCCCACATCCAGCCCAGGACCTCCACATCCAGCCCAGGACCCCCACATCCAGCCCAGGACCCCCACATCCAGCCCAGGACCCCCACATCCAGCCCAGGACCCCCACATCCAGCCCAGGACCCCCACATCCAGCCCAGGACCCCCACATCCAGCCCAGGACCCCCACATCCAGCCCAGGACCCCACACCAGGACCCCCACATCCAGCCCAGGACCCCCACATCCAGCCCAGGACCCCCACATCCAGCCCAGGACCCCACATCCAGCCCAGGACCCCCACATCCAGCCCAGGACCCCCACATCCAGCCCAGGACCCCACATCCAGCCCAGGACCCCCACATCCAGCCCAGGACCCCCACATCCAGCCCAGGACCCCCACATCCAGCCCAGGACCCCCACATCCAGCCCAGGACCCCCACATCCAGCCCAGGACCCCCACATCCAGCCCAGGACCCCCACATCCAGCCCAGGACCCCCACATCCAGCCCAGGACCCCCACATCCAGCCCAGGACCCCCACATCCAGCCCAGGACCCCCACATCCAGCCCAGGACCCCCACATCCAGCCCAGGACCCCCACATCCAGCCCAGGACCCCCACATCCAGCCCAGGACCCCCACATCCAGCCCAGGACCCCCACATCCAGCCCAGGACCCCCACATCCAGCCCAGGACCCCCACATCCAGCCCAGGACCCCCACATCCAGCCCAGGACCCCCACATCCAGCCCAGGACCCCCACATCCAGCCCAGGACCCCCACATCCAGCCCAGGACCCCCACATCCAGCCCAGGACCCCACATCCAGCCCAGGACCCCCACATCCAGCCCAGGACCTCCACATCCAGCCCAGGACCTCCACATCCAGCCCAGGACCCCCACATCCAGCCCAGGACCCCCACATCCAGCCCAGGACCCCCACATCCAGCCCAGGACCTCCACATCCAGCCCAGGACCCCCACATCCAGCCCAGGACCCCCACATCCAGCCCAGGACCCCCACATCCAGCCCAGGACCCCCACATCCAGCCCAGGACCCCACATCCAGCCCAGGACCCCCACATCCAGCCCAGGACCTCCACATCCAGCCCAGGACCCCCACATCCAGCCCAGGACCCCCACATCCAGCCCAGGACCTCCACATCCAGCCCAGGACCCCCACATCCAGCCCAGGACCCCCACATCCAGCCCAGGACCCCCACATCCAGCCCAGGACCCCCACATCCAGCCCAGGACCCCCACATCCAGCCCAGGACCCCCACATCCAGCCCAGGACCCCCACATCCAGACCCAGGACCCCCACATCCAGCCCAGGACCCCCACATCCAGCCCAGGACCCCCACATCCAGCCCAGGACCCCCACATCCAGCCCAGGACCCCCACATCCAGCCCAGGACCCCCACATCCAGCCCAGGACCCCCACATCCAGCCCAGGACCCCCACATCCAGCCCAGGACCCCCACATCCAGCCCAGGACCCCCACATCCAGCCCAGGACCCCCACATCCAGCCCAGGACCTCCACATCCAGCCCAGGACCTCCACATCCAGCCCAGGACCCCCACATCCAGCCCAGGACCCCCACATCCAGCCCAGGACCCCCACATCCAGCCCAGGACCCCCACATCCAGCCCAGGACCCCCACATCCAGCCCAGGACCCCCACATCCAGCCCAGGACCCCCACATCCAGCCCAGGACCCCCACATCCAGCCCAGGACCCCCACATCCAGCCCAGGACCTCCACATCCAGCCCAGGACCTCCACATCCAGCCCAGGACCCCCACATCCAGCCCAGGACCCCCACATCCAGCCCAGGACCCCCACATCCAGCCCAGGACCCCCACATCCAGCCCAGGACCCCCACATCCAGCCCAGGACCTCCACATCCAGCCCAGGACCCCCACATCCAGCCCAGGACCCCCACATCCAGCCCAGGACCCCCACATCCAGCCCAGGACCTCCACATCCAGCCCAGGACCTCCACATCCAGCCCAGGACCTCCACATCCAGCCCAGGACCCCCACATCCAGCCCAGGACCCCCACATCCAGCCCAGGACCCCCACATCCAGCCCAGGACCCCCACATCCAGCCCAGGACCCCCACATCCAGCCCAGGACCCCCACATCCAGCCCAGGACCCCCACATCCAGCCCAGGACCCCCACATCCAGCCCAGGACCCCCACATCCAGCCCAGGACCCCCACATCCAGCCCAGGACCCCCACATCCAGCCCAGGACCCCCACATCCAGCCCAGGACCTCCACATCCAGCCCAGGACCTCCACATCCAGCCCAGGACCTCCTCATCCAGCCCAGGACCCCCACATCCAGCCCAGGACCCCCACATCCAGCCCAGGACCCCCACATCCAGCCCAGGACCCCCACATCCAGCCCAGGACCCCCACCAGCCAGGACCTCCACATCCAGCCCAGGACCTCCACATCCAGCCCAGGACCTCCACATCCAGCCCAGGACCCACATCCAGCCCAGGACCTCCACATCCAGCCCAGGACCTCCACATCCAGCCCAGGACCTCCACATCCAGCCCAGGACCCCCACATCCAGCCCAGGACCCCCACATCCAGCCCAGGACCTCCACATCCAGCCCAGGACCTCCACATCCATCCCAGGACCTCCACATCCAGCCCAGGACCTCCACATCCAGCCCAGGACCTCCACATCCAGCCCAGGACCTCCTCATCCAGCCCAGGACCTCCACATCCAGCCCAGGACCCCCACATCCAGCCCAGGACCCCCACATCCAGCCCAGGACCCCCACATCAGCCCAGGACCCCCACCCCTCCAGCCCAGGACCTCCTCATCCAGCCCAGGACCTCCACATCCAGCCCAGGACCTCCTCATCCAGCCCAGGACCTCCACATCCAGCCCAGGACCTCCTCATCCAGCCCAGGACCTCCACATCCAGCCCAGGACCTCCTCATCCAGCCCAGGACCTCCACATCCAGCCCAGGACCTCCTCATCATCCCAGGACCTCCACATCCAGCCCAGGACCTCCTCATCCAGCCCAGGACCTCCTCATCCAGCCCAGGACCTCCATCCAGCCCAGGACCTCATCCAGCCCAGGACTCCTCATCCAGCCCAGGACCTCCTCATCCAGCCCAGGACCTCCTCATCCTGAGCCCAGGACCTCCTCATCCAGCCCAGGACCTCCACATCCAGCCCAGGACCTCCTCATCCAGCCCAGGACCCCACATCCAGCCCAGGACCTCCTCATCCAGCCCAGGACCTCCACATCCAGCCCAGGACCTCCTCATCCAGCCCAGGACCTCCACATCCAGCCCAGGACCTCCTCATCCAGCCCAGGACCTCCTCATCCAGCCCAGGACCTCCTCATCCAGCCCAGGACCTCCACATCCAGCCCAGGACCTCCACATCCAGCCCAGGACCTCCTCATCCAGCCCAGGACCTCCATCAGCAGGACCTCCAGCCCAGGACCTCCTCATCCAGCCCAGGACCTCCTCATCCAGCCCAGGACCTCCTCATCCAGCCCAGGACCTCCACATCCAGCCCAGGACCTCCTCATCCAGCCCAGGACCTCCTCATCCAGCCCAGGACCTCCTCATCCAGCCCAGGACCTCCACATCCAGCCCAGGACCTCCTCATCCAGCCCAGGACCTCCTCATCCAGCCCAGGACCTCCACATCCAGCCAGGACCTCCTCATCCAGCCCAGGACCTCCTCATCCAGCCAGGACCTCCTCATCCAGCCCAGGACCTCCTCATCCAGCCCAGGACCTCCTCATCCAGCCCAGGACCTCCTCATCCAGCCCAGGACCTCCTCATCCAGCCCAGGACCTCCTCATCCAGCCCAGGACCTCCACATCCAGCCCAGGACCTCCTCATCCAGCCCAGGACCTCCTCATCCAGCCCAGGACCTCCTCATCCAGCCCAGGACCTCCACATCCAGCCAGGACCTCCTCATCCAGCCCAGGACCTCCACATCCAGCCCAGGACCTCCTCATCCAGCCAGGACCTCATCCAGCCCAGGACCTCCTCATCCAGCCCAGGACCTCCTCATCCAGCCCAGGACCTCCTCATCCAGCCCAGGACCTCCTCATCCAGCCCAGGACCTCCTCATCCAGCCCCTCAGGGACCTCCACATCCAGCCCAGGACCTCCTCATCCAGCCCAGGACCTCCTCATCCAGCCCAGGACCTCCTCATCCAGCCCAGGACCTCCACATCCAGCCCAGGACCTCCTCATCCAGCCCAGGACCTCATCCAGCCCAGGACCTCCACATCCAGCCCAGGACCTCCTCATCCAGCCCAGGACCTCATCGGGTCTGGACCTGTTCGTGGGGTCTGGCACGTTGGAGGTGTTCTCTTCACGGATGAATCTGGGTTTGCAGTGTTCAGGGCAGTCGGCGGCGACGTGTGAGCGCTTTACTGGTGTCAATGTTGTGGATGGAGTGGCCCATGGTGGTGGTGTGGTTATGGTATGGTCCATGGTGCTGGTGTGGTTATGGTATGGTCCATGGTCCATGGTGTGGTTATGGTATGGTCCATGGTCCATGGTGTGGTTATGGTATGGTCCATGGTCCATGGTGTGGTTATGGTATGGTCCATGGTCCATGGTGTGGTTATGGTATGGTCCATTGAGCATGTTTGGGATGTGCTTGAGCGGCGTATATGACAGCCTGCACCAGTTCCCACTGATATCCCGCAGCACAGCCATTGAAGAGGAGTGGGCCAAAATTCCACAGGCCACAATTGACAATCTGATAAAGTTTACTGACCCAGACCCAGATACTGACCGGTTCTGAGTCCCCAGACCCCAGATACTGACTGGTTCTGAGTCCCCAGACCCAGATACTGACCGGTTCTGAGTCCCCAGACCCAGATGCTGACTGGTTCTGAGTCCGCAGACCCAGATACTGACCGGTTCTGAGTCCCCAGACCCAGATACTGACTGGTTCTGAGTCCCCAGACCCAGATACTGACTGGTTCTGAGTCCCCAGACCCAGATACTGACCGGTTCTGAGTCCCCAGACCCAGATGCTGACTGGTTCTGAGTCCGCAGACCCAGATACTGACCGGTTCTGAGTCCCCAGACCCAGATACTGACTGGTTCTGAGTCCGCAGACCCAGATACTGACTGGTTCTGAGTCCCCAGACCCAGATGCTGACTGGTTCTGAGTCCGCAGACCCAGATACTGACTGGTTCTGAGACCCCAAACCCAGATACTGACCGGTTCTGAGTCCGCAGACCCAGATACTGACTGGTTCTGAGTCCCCAGACCCAGATACTGACTGGTTCTGAGTCCCCAGACCCAGATACTGACTGGTTCTGAGTCCCCAGACCCAGATACTGCTCACTATCATACATTTAGACAGATCTGTGAGCAAAGTTTGAGAGAAATGGTAATATTGTGAATCTGGAATCAATTAGATGTTTAAGTCCA